CTCAACCTTGGCAGCTTTAAGACATGTAGACTTCTTACTCTTGGTAGCTGGGAAATTCTGGGAGCTGAAATCCACACATCTTAAAGTTCCCAAGGTTGAGAAAACAATGGATTAGAGGCATGTCAAGTACAGTATATGAAGGAAGGTCCAAAGCAGCCTACTTCTGTTGCTTTTTTCATCTCCGTGCAAAAATAGTCCTTGTTGGCCTAACTGAACTCATGATCTCATCTGTAAAAAGCAGATGCTTAGGCTTCTTTATGCCATGCCATTCAGCCATCCCATATGTTCCACTCCTACTGTTTTATGTTATTAGGTGATATGAAATATAAGTGTGGAAACCTGGCATCAAAGAACAACAATCTAAGCAGAGACGGAGTCCTGCTCATTCTGCAAGTGTTCTATAAATCAAAGATAATGCTAAATCTGATGCTGGAGACAACTGGGGAGACAAGGGTTGAAATTCGGGTTGTCTCCACTTTTCAACCAAAAAATGTCAACAACGAAGTGCACAATTCTCTGGTTAATTTAAAAAAAAAGCTTTTATGCATGATCAATATGCCCTAAAAGGCGGAGACGGGATTGGATTGGATCAAATAACAAAAAACAAGAATTTATGTATGCTTTGTTTTCTGAGTTTTATTCTGACTGCAAAGATTTAGATCTTTGCTGCAACCATCAACATTTACCCAGAGTTACTGTGGCGCGCATATATATATATATATATATATATATATATATATATATATATATATATATATATATATATATATATATCTCAGATGAAAATAAAGAGCTCTGGGATGTAAGGTAAAAGGCTTTTTTTTATTAATTGCTGAGCTTTCGTTAACAACCTGTTAACATCATCAGAGCAAAGGGCTAAATGAGAAGGGGGAGTATGTGCATAAATTTACATAACAGTTAAACAACGATTGCAGTGAGGAAGGAATCCAGCCGGCACAAGACTGAGCACGAAGCCTTAAGAACCTCACACCAAACAGATGATAGGCACGCTGGATCTACGTGCCAAACAGTTGACAAGCGCGACTTTTGAGACTGACTGCTTTATGCCTTTAAGAGCTTCTTAAGCACGCTATGTGCACATGCCTCACTGTAACCGTTGTTTAACTGTTATGTAAATTTATGCACATACTCCCCCCTTCTCATTTAGCCCTTTGCTCTGATGATGTTAACAGGTTGTTAACGAAAGCTCAGCAATTAATTTTAAAAAAGCCTTTTACCTTATATCCCAGAGTTCTTTATTTTTATCTGATTGACTTTAAATGTCCATACCTGGGATTCCAATATTCAAAATTATCAAAGACACACACACACACGCGCGCGCACACACACACACATAATTATGCCTGGGAGTCGCATTTTTACCAATATGGGGATAGGGTTCCACTAACTGTGGGTTAATATCCCTTCCCAATTGTATACCTCTCTCCTCCTTTGTCGTGTCAACAGCTCTTATCTGAGTATGGTATGCCTCAGCAATCATGTCTTTATTCCCCACCCCAGTCCTCCTTACATCCATTCCCTCCCATTGTTTGGCACTTAAACCGCTCTCTCTTTTCCCATAAAATCAGCTGCATTAAAACGTTATTTAAGCGCATTGACTCCCACTGCAGTACGGATGAGTATAGGAATGAAGAGAGGAGACACCTCTTTCGCATATGCCGTTATAACGGTTACCCATTAAGATTCATCAGACGGCATAGCGTAACAACCCATCTTCGGGCCAACCAACGTAGAGAAGAACCCTCCTTACAGAGAACACGCATCTCCCTCCCATACATTAACAATATCTCAGAGGCCACGGCCAGATTGCTGGCCCCCCATGGAATAGAGGTGGCTCACAAGCCAAACCAAACTCTACGGTCTAAAGTCATGCACCCAAAAGACCCCCTACCTCCTATGGAGAAATCATCTGTTATATATAAGATCAATTGCAGGAATTGCCAAGGCAACTATGTGGGGGAAACAGCCAAACGCCTGAAGACTCATCTCCATGAACACCAATTGGCTATAAAACGGGGCGAGCAGCATTCACAACTTTGGATGCATATGGCGCAAGAGGGCCACCGATTTGACTTTGCTAATACCTGTATCGTAGCTAGTGATGCCATGAAGGGAGGCCGGCTACTGAAAGAGGCCTGGTTCTCAAATGACAGCTCAATTAATCGTCGCATTGACTTGCATCCAGCGCAACAAGCGCTGCGGAAATGGGACTCAAATTACCACTCATTACATCGCAAGTGATCATACCAACACTTGCGGCATTATGGACAGGAAGCCGCATCCCCCCACCGCCGGGAACACCTGCATATGGACGTAAATAACTATACCATCAACACCCCCTTGCCAGGTGACCGGCGCCGGACCATGCAGGAAGAGAGTCTCCCACCCCAACATGTGGACGCTGGAATAGAGGCTACGGACTCCCCGCGCACGGAAAAAGAAAGGGAGGAGGCGCCCGATATGGATGATCTACGCACCGCCCAACAACCCCAGGTGAGGCTCACACCCTCCCAGGAGGGAGGAAGCGATACCAGTGGAGCCGGAACACCTAAAAGACTTGTTAAAATCTCGGAGTGTGCGGTTGCCCATAGCAACGAGGAGGAGCGTCCCACATGGAGAGGGGAGAGAAAGCATAGAATGACAACCCGCTCGATCAGTAAGTTTGAGTGCCAAACAACGGGAGGGAACGGATGTAAGGAGGACTGGGGTGGGGAATAAATACATGATTGCTGAGGCATACCATACTCAGATAAGAGCTGTTGACACGACAAAGGAGGAGAGGGGTATACAATTGGGAAGGGATATTAACCCACAGTTAGTGGAACCCTATCCCCATCACAAGACACAAGAAAACATCAGATTGAATCCTCCCCCTGATACAGCAGGCGTTGGTATTATCGGAAGAGGAGGGGATGCAAGGTTACTAACGCCTCCAAAGACCAATAGTGGAGGGATAGGGAAGGGCATCCGAAGAGAAGAACATAACGTTATAGACACATCTTGGTTATCAGCTGGCCAATCAGGGCCAGTAACACGGTCTAGGAGCCGTGCGCAAACGTTACTTGAACCTACTTAAACCACCTTTATTGTAATGGCCTTTTAGCCCTGATGATGCTGGGGAGTTCCCCCAGCGAAAGCTTGGCAACTTTTTAGTATAAGTATATTTTTAGTAAAGTATTCTTATTTTAACCCTCCCAGTGATCGTATTTTATTCTTTTATTCATAGATATATACCCAAAAGAGTCATATTTTTTCACCATATATATGTATGTTTTCTGAGGTTTTCGCGGGTATTTGTATGTAGGTCTTTGGTTGTTCGGGTTTTCTCCCGCGTAAAATTGGAAGTGTCTTGGCGACGTTTCGACGAAGTCCCATTCGTCATCTTCAGGCTGGTGTTTTCAGCTTCGTGCTGCTCAAATGAATAATGTCATTTGAATAATGTCAAGTGAATAATGTCTGTAAAAATATGACTCTTGGTTATATTCATGATATAAAATAAATAACTTACGACCACCAGGAGGATTCAAATAGAGAAATATTTTAATAAAACCAAGCTTTTGTTGGAAACTCCCAACAGGAAGGTATGGGAGCAAGTGCCATCAAAGGGAAGGAAGATGAAAGGATCCTAACAAACCTAAGAACTAACATTGAGAGAGTGAGTAAGAATGCTCAAAGGAGTGATAGAGGAGGGCTGGGCGCAGACATCAAAGAAACAACTAGAACACAAATTAACCGGCCAGGACCGATGATGCGGTCTAGGAGTCGGGTGCAAGCGTTAGCTAACCTTATTTAAAGTATTTCCATTGACTGGCTTTTAACCCTGACGATGTTGGGAGTTTCCAACAAAAGCTCGGTAACTCTGGGTAAATGTATATATATTTGCAATTCTCAGAAAATATCCTGTGTCAATAACAGAGTGCTTTGAAATTGAAGAATAGATTGGCACAAAAAAAAAGGAAGGAAGAGGGAAGTAAAATGCTCTGACATCATCATTTAGATAAATTCCTCTGGACAGAATGCAGAAATAAAATGAGATCTCTCGTTAAAATCTGAACAACCATAACAAATTTATATTATGTTATATTTTGATTCTGGGATTTCTTATTATTGCAAACAATAAAAAATATTGTTAAAGGGTGGGAGTGGGAGTGACAAAAAAAATTAAGCATTTCTTTTCAAACAAAACAATATAGCAGGCTTATAAAAAGCCAGATTCTGAAACTAATAGGCGTTGCATCTAAGACACCATATATAACCCATACTGGCACAGCAGGAACTGCATTTCTGTGGAATAGTGTTTAAAGATGATGCATGCTTGTCATTGCAGTTGTTGAATCCTATCTCAAAAGATAAATCCATGATAAGACCCATGCAATTAAACTTCTTATGAATACTCAGAGGTATTCTAATATCTGAAGGGTCTCATAATGCAGCTTTCAAAAACCAATAGGAGCTGGATTTTTTTTTCCTCCTGGAAAGGATTAATTACCCCACTGAGACAAACTCTAACAGTAGAGCATTCTAGATGTACATATATGGCATCTTAGAGATGTAATTAAACAGTAACATTTCCATGCAGAAAGTCCCTGGTTCTAAACCTAGCATCTCAGAGTACAGATTTGGGAATATCTGCTTATCAAAGCCCTAGAGGAACTAATCATATGTCTGCTATAATCCAGGTTTCTGTTACTGATCAGGAGAATTTGTTTCTTTTATTCAGTCTCCACCAAAATGAAGACACAGAGTTTTGATATATATCAGAGGGCACAAGCTTTGCATGCCAAAAGTCTTGTTCCAGTCTGGTTAACATATGGGCATCAAATGATGAGAAAGATCTCTATCTATGGCTCTGGATTGTTCTTACTAAATCAGACGATGCTAGGCTGTACAATAGAAAAAAGTGGAAAGATTTTGCAGACTAGGAGGGGGTTTAAATCAAATAGCAAACAATGTAACTTTATGACCTTTCATCTTTTCAGTATGCTACCACAGGCTGCTCCCTGACACTCCATCATACAGAAAAGCCAGATCATGAAGACATTTGTGAGTATCGCCCTTACTCCTGCCCATGTCCAGGCGCATCGTGCAAATGGCAGGGTTCTTTGGAAGCGGTGATGTCTCATCTAATGCATGCTCACAAGAGTATCACAACTCTTCAAGGAGAAGACATTGTCTTCCTCGCCACAGACATTAACTTGCCGGGAGCCGTTGATTGGGTGATGATGCAGTCATGCTTTGGCCATCACTTCATGCTGGTTCTAGAGAAACAGGAGAAGTATGAGGGCCATCAACAGTTTTTTGCCATAGTCTTGCTAATTGGCACTCGCAAACAAGCAGAGAACTTTGCATACAGGCTCGAACTGAATGGCAACAGACGGAGGCTGACATGGGAAGCAACACCACGCTCCATCCATGATGGGGTGGCAGCAGCTATCATGAACAGTGACTGTCTTGTGTTTGACACTGCCATAGCACATCTATTTGCAGATAATGGGAACCTTGGAATCAATGTGACTATTTCTACATGTTGTCCGTGATATTTTTGTGTAACTTGTGAAACCATGTGGTTTCTCTGGGCATAGTGCTTTCATGTTTTGCTGAGTTTTTTTTTTAAATGGTATTCAACTGTTGCCCTGTCTTCCTTCTCATGCAAATCATAAGCACATGAGGAAGAACAGGAATTTGCCACCAGTGCCATTACAAACCTGTCATTCACTTTGGAGTGATGTATCTGTAGTGTATTCTATATATGAACACTCCCTTCATTGTATGAAATCCTGCACAACTGTTAATCACTGGGTGGCAATACACCCACGTAGGGAGTGTATCTTCATACGTAATACAAGTGTTACCCTGACATCTTAATAAACTATACTCATTGGGAATTTTAAAATAAGATTTATCAGAATAGTTACTAAAGCAAAATCAGTGCCCTTTTAATCCAAAAAGGAAGAGATATATTTTTAAGAGTTTCAGTGGAGTTTTTTTAGAGAACGAAACAATGTCATCTTAAAACAGCTTTTTTTTAAACATAGGGAATAAAAGAGGTGGGACATCCATCAGAGGTAGCTCTTCAATGCCTAAAGAGTCTGTGCACAAGTTTAGAAAAATGAGGTGCATAAATTATAGCACTTCTGGTTACAAGCAGGGAATACCATATTTAAACAATTCCATAGAACAGAAACAGGGCACAGCAAAAATGTCACTAAATTACAACTTTCCCTCCTGCAAGGCTGTGCTACTTAAGGGACATTTTTTTACTGTGAGGGAATTTTTGAAAATGTGAGTTTTTACCCACAACATGGAGTGTATGTCTACAACCTTAGTACAACCTTAGTACCTTAGTTCACTATACTTCATATCCAGGAAGAAGCAGCCCACTGCTTCAAGCAACTGATAAAGCTCTTGACCACCTTTGTAACAAAATATTAAAAAGAAAGAGTAAATAAACAGAACGTTACAGTGTTGGAAGTGCTTTATTTTTAAGCTTTTAACACAGAGAAATTTGTGGATTTTACATTTCACACAGTAATTCACATAGGAGAAGACATTTACTTTATCAACTGAGTTTTCTTTTTTTTTCTGGCTGATGAATTGGTTGAATTTTTATTTTTTTAAAAAGAATGTTTTCTATTAGGAATGAAGGTTTAGATATCTGCACAATGGGCCCACTTCATCCACTCATCTTTCTATTCCTATAAGAGTTGAAGAGACTCTTTGTCAGAGCTGCTTACCTAAGGGGTTGCAACACACACACACACACATACGCACGTAAACATGGCATCATTCATATACACATTCATATTCTAAAAACTGATCTAGAATAACATAAGGAAAATTGATATGAGGGATGGTCTTTTCTGCTATTTAATTTTTTTCTGTGGGCATAGCCATATTTACTCTAGTTTTCTAAATAAACGTTTTGTAAAAAAAAACAACTTGTGTGGGCTCTTTTACTGGGTAGAAAAAGAACACCTTTGCATTCATATCATAGCTGCCAAGGACAAATATACTTCAGTGGGATAGCACATCTTATGCACTGGTCTAGCAAGCTTTTCCTAACAGTCAGTGTAACAGATGTGGAATTTATTCTACTAGAACTGTATTTGCATGATGTCACATGGTCATGACATTAGTGAACAAAGTATGTCATGACACACATTAAGTCATTCTGCACGACCACTACTATCACCACAGACCACCAGGCTTCTCATCTAGTTTTCTGACTGGGAATATAGGTAATCATAATCCATACTAGGGATGACAATAGACTAGAGACAGTTGAAGTTAACTCTTAGAATTCAGGAAGCCAAAGAGAATATAGTTGCTTTAGTTTTAGATATGTTCAGCTTTTTTCCTCTAGCAATATATATTGAGTTTTGTCAAATAAGAGAATGCAGAAATAAATTAACCAAGAAAATTTAACATTATATAATATAAAATCACCTGGTTTAATTTTTGGTAGTGCTAGAAACTTTTCCTGCAATTTTTTTTTGCAACTATTTGCAGCTAACCAAAATTATACAAAATAATTATTTGCCATTCTGATTGTTTTAGTATCTGTTTCCTGGTAGGGAGAAAGCCTTTACTTTCTGGAATTGACATGTTAAAGATCAACTGAAAATGATTGTAAATGGCTACATATAGATTTGCCTTTTTTTTTACTGTGCAGTAAAAAAGATATTTTATATGTAGAAAAATCTTTGGCCTAAATATTGCTGAAGCTCACTAATTAAATTTCTGAATACTTTTTTTTACAATCATATTTTATCCATTTCTAACATGTTTTAAAAATTCCTTTTCAAGGACTTCCTTACAACACTGCCATCAAAAAGGTGTGAATATTTAAAAGCACTTTCCTATTGTTATTATTATTAACCTATTTTCAGTGGTTCTCCAGTGGCCTACTTTCCCTTTCATCTTTATACTTGCTATGCCTGACTTAATAGTGCATAATTTTACTCCTTGCCAAATTCTCAACAGCACCTATTATATGACTCATACAGCCAAAAGAAAGTCAACAGATTTTTTCTGAAATGCCAAAAACAGCTTCTGCTGAAGCCCAATAATCCATTTTGTTCTTATTATTAAAACAGATTTAACAAGTTAATTATCCGTTACTCATTTCATAAAATCATCTTAATGCATATGCTGCTTTTACAAAGGGTTGCCTCATCATCCAGGTTACAGATCAAACGTATGATCTAATCAACTTTGTTACTGTTGCATCAAAACAGTTATATGCTGTTTACCTGTTCAACCAATAAATCACATTCAATATAATTTATCAAATAATAATTATGGCCTATTTGTACTATCTCAGAAGGTCCCCAACCTGTAGACTGGCCCACTAATGGGCTGTGAGGGGTTTGCAACTGAGCCATGGAAATGGCCAGTGAGTGCATTTGCGCACACACTCCATTTCAGTGAGCGGCAGGTGTGTGTGCACACTGCTCACTCAAATGGAGCTGTGTGCGCACATGATTGCTGGCCGCTCCCATGGAACCATTCTCCCCCCCACCCCGCCGCTGGTCCACAAATCCAGAAACATTGGGGAACTTTGTACTATCTGGTTTCTAGTCCTGCTTTAGAGAAACATAACCCAAAGAATTTCAAACATCAATAATCCATTACATGATCAGTTATTGATACCGAATATAAGATTTAAACTAAAGGAAGAAATTATCTTGAGGTGGTACCTAAAATATCCTTTTTTCATTTGTATATTCCTGTGACATCATAAAATCTTAACATCTGTCTATCCCAGGTCCTTGGAAAGTACTCAGTAGGTGTACAAATGTCAAGTCCAGTCTGAACATCTGGCTGACTATGCAACCAAACCATTATTTTCTGTAATATTTTGTAGGAATCAAATGTTTACACTTTCTACACAAACATGTATATCAGTAGAAAATTACCAGAATTTTAAAAAGCCCAGAGAGCCATTTTAACAAAACTTCAAACTCCTTCAGCTCTCTACCAAATATAAATTTTAGTGTAATAAGAAAATTTATTAAATGCATCACAATTATTACATTAAAAGTATTTTAAGTTTTGATCTGACCCCACCCAATCCTTTGGCTTGACCACACTCATTTTCTAGAGTGTAGAAGACACTCTGAGGAAAAAAAATATAGTCTCAAATCAGTTGTAATAAGAATTCAAGGACTCTTGGTATATATGTAATCCAATTCTGACGTGTTCTAGTGAACAATTCAACAATTATCTCCTTCTATAAAGAAATACTTGTAAATATAGCTGAAAGCATATTGCCTGAAAGATAGAGAACAAGGATGTTGAAAAATGTTGACTTGAGCATAAGATAAGTTGTTAACAATGCAACAGCTTACTATTTCCATGATGGACAAGAAATGGATTGCAAATATTCTGGCCCAGATAGTCTAGATCAGGGTTAAACAACTACGGGACTTTAGAACACAATATTAGTATAGTAGAAAGTCTGGGATAACATATTTGGATGTAAGCAGTTAGGAATAGATTTAGGGCATGGCTTAATCTTGGTTCAAGTCTTTCTGAGCTTTATGGGAGTGTGATATCTTCTATTTCTACCCATCTGCTGCAAGGATTTCCTTTACAACTCTCAACCTTTGCACTCTACATGACCACATTCATGACTGCATATGTTATTTTTCTCATCTGAAACCATATCCCACACTAAAAAGTAAGTCTGATCTTTAAAGCATTTGATAAATCTCTTGGAAACATATCTGGTGTGAGGAACAGCAAAACGTCTATTAATGTAGACAGATGAGTAAGTTCTCAATTAAGAACTGTATCAAATTGTTCCCACTATTCAGTCAGCATAAATTAAATGGTCTGATACCCCACAGAAGGGAAAAACCCTTTTTGAGGCATAGACTTTAATCATCTTGTGTGGGATAGATTTAGTGGTCATAAGTGCTGAAAGAAATGAACTCCCAGAACTCAAGAGATGATTTAAGATTCTTTAAATTGTGGCACTGAGTACCTAGAATAACTACTAAGCATTCTAAAAGTGACCTCATTTGGCTATTACAGACAGTCTGTTAGCACAGCAATGCCTACAGCTGCTCTTCCTTGTCACTTCCTGGGATGTTTTTTGCATTCCTTTGCCAGCAAACTAAAGGGGCAAACATAATCTTTTGACCACAACCATATAGAATTCCATTATGATGAGCAAAGCCTGCAGGAAAAGGAAAAGAATGCCGCAACTTCCTCAGCAATATTTCCAACCAGAATGTAAGCAATCTCAGCAAGGGGAGATTTTTCCCAGGTCCTATTCAGAGCACGAAATGGATTCTCCTCCCAATAGATAATAAAATGGATCATAACAAAATGAAACCATTGAAATGTCCCAAACGCAGAGCTGAACCCTATCACCATCTGCTTTGGGTTTTGTTTAGTCCAACCTCCTCCTCAGAAAAAAATAACTCTTCAGAGGTTTGCACGCTTGTTACATTTACACTGTACTTAACAACTATGGTTTTTTCCCCCTCACGAATCAACTTGCTGTTTTCTAATACATACAGGTAATCCTCAACTTACAACTATTCAAGGTTACAACACTGAAAAAAGTGACTTATGATTTGTCCTCGTGATTAACAACAGTTGCAATATCCCCAAAGCCACATGGTCAAAATTTAGGTGCTTGGGAACTGGCATTTATTTACAAAGGTTGCAGTGTCCTGGGGTCATGTGATTGCCATTTATGACCTTCCCAATCAGCTTCCTAGAACCAAAGTCAGTGGGGGAAGCCAGCTTCATTTAATGACATGATTCACTTTAAAAAACAGTAATTTGCTAACTGGCCAAAAGTCATAAAATTAGGCACAACTGCCTTGCTTAGCAACAGAAATTCTGGTCCCAATTGTGGCCATATGTTGAGGACTATCCATAAATTTCCTTTTATTCTAAACTATAGGATTAAAAGCTTACTAGAGCTTCTTGCAAAAAATAACACTAACATTGAATATGTATACTTGCTTCTACTAGATCAGGGGTAGGCAACCTTGGCTCTTTTATGACTCGTGGACTTCAACTCCCAGAATTCCTGAGCCAGCATGGCTGGCTCAGGAATTCTGGCAGTTGAAGCCCACGAGTCATAAAAGCCAAGGTTGCCTATCCCTGTACTAGACAACATGAATAATATGATTTCGCTCAGACCCATTACAAACTATTTTGCCATCTTGAGCGAAATAAGTCTTCCCACATTCTTTGAAACACTACAGAAACAACCACAAATAGTTAGTGAATTAATTTTGTTTCAATGCTGATCATGATCTTCAGCCCCCATGACAGTCCTGGCCCTGGCTGAAAATTCTGGGGGTTATAGACCCGAAGATACTGTGAAAGCCAGAGAAGAAATCTGACAATTGAGAACACCAGAGCACCTGGAGAAAACTAGGGTGGGAAAGACAAGTTCTAGAAAATTCATAGCAGGCCATGTGGCCTATACAGCATATCTCTTGAGAAGGGAAGTAGCATGTAAACAAGGCCTCTCAGCACTCAATTTTCTGTTAATACCAGGAAACAGGCCGATTAGCCAACAAATCAGAAACCACCGTCCACGTGTCCTGTGAAGCAACATCCACCATTCAATCCACTTACTACTCAAGTTCTTAAAGGTAAAGAATTATTCAAACTCAGTTTCTTGTGACTATATGGACAAGGCCCTGCAATTTTCCAATCCATTCTACAGTTAGGATTTCCGGCTAGCCTTTAATTACTAATCACGCCAGATCTGCTTAGCTTTTTTTCCGAGACGAGTTAAGGTCTGCTACATGCTGCCCCCTGCTGCAAACGCATTAAAAAAAGAGGCAACAGGACTGAACACGCAGAAGTCAAATCTCTCATCTCTTGCTGCATGAGGCGTCATAATTCACTAGCGTTGCTAATAAACGTGCATGACCAAACACGCCACACAGAGAAAAGAATCGGCCTGAAAAGTTTCTTATCAATGAATAGGCAAACGGAGTGAAGAGTCTAACCTCAAAGAGAGGTCAGGATGCGAAACACCCCAAACCCGAAGCATCAAAATAATCCACCCGGAATGAACATCTAAGTAACGGGTGGATTTTCTGCACGGCTCGCTCTCCTTCCCTTGAAGTCCCGACGGAATCGCGTTCTGCGGCGCCGTCTCCCGAGAGACTAGAATGCAAAACAGTTCGCGTCACAAGACACAGAGAACAGTGGTTCCCCATGCAGCCCTTGGCCTTTTAAAGGGGCCGTCTGCGATGCGGCGAGTGAATCGGGGCGCGGGTTATGGAAGGATTTTCTCGAACCTCGGAGAAAAATCGGGATGGAGGCAATGATCCAGGTGCTGATCGAGCGTCTATGTCTATGCTCCGTACCATCGGGGTCCTAGAGAAACATGCGAAGAAGTCACTGAAAAGAGTGTAGTGGGGGTGGGAGGCGCATTCAGTGTGCCGCTCCTCAAGGACTTGGGCGCAGACCGCAAGAAGCGATGGGCACGCCTGAGTTTAATGTCACATGCACAGAGAAGACCGGCGGTCTCCAAAAGCAGATGAGGGTTTTTTTTCTTAGTGGGGGTTTAGCGCTCACGGAATAGTCGTCTTTAATCTGAAGGTGTCTTAAAGGGCAAAAGCTTAGGTCGAGCTTTACGAATCTTCTCTAGGTGATGAAAGGAAGTTACTCGTTTCTATAGTACACCCTTATTCCTGTTTTTTATGGGAACGGAAAGTGGTGTTCTTGGGGTCTTCTCCTAATTTTAGTCCCACCGCAACAACTCTGGGAAGTTAAGAAATTCAGAGTCCTGAAAATTGGAAGAGTGGGTAGATATGGAACAGCAATTGGTGTGATTGGTATCATCTATGAAAGGTTTGGGAAAGAGCTGGACTAGAGCAGCCAGAAGATGTTCTCCAGTACAGAACATATCTCCATTTCAACCTAAAAACATTATAAAATATTCTGAAAATACTTATTTGTTAGTCCTGCCCTTCATGGTGTCTGCAGCTGTTGAGTGAAGAACCTTAAATCATCCTTAAGTGTTTCTCTCCCCCTCAGTACTATCTCAATACTGTCCAAGAGTATCATAGAGGTGTATAAAATCTGTAAGATTTCTTGCCCAACACCTAGGAAGGAATCAGGCAATTGCACTGATTTGAAACTGAGCAACAGAGACAGGATCAGCAAGGGATTCAGCCAATTTCATCCTAGTTTAGTTTTCTGCAAATGTTTGGGCAGAAAACATTTTGGCTCACTAATGAAATCAAGGCCCAAGGAGGCTGGATTGAGTCACCCAATAAGCACTGTGGTTGAGTGGAGACTTGAATCTATGGCTCCCTGATCCAAGCCTAGAACTACCAATTCCGTAATTTCCTTCCCTTTTTACATCTTCCCAAGGCAAACTTCCAAAGTTAGGCTTTTCTCCTACAGTGTTATCATGGGAATGGCTGAGAAATTTTTGCTGTCAGAACTGTAGACACACTCATACATTTCATTCTTGCATTATCTGACTCAAAGGAGATTAGGATGGGAGATGAGATAATTTCTGTCAGTGAGATATATACCTCATATGTGGAGTCTGCCTCTTGTATTTATATCACATATTTGTCTAATCCTGTGGGATTGAAGCAATTTGAATTTTACTTTGTGTGATTCAAAACCTAATTTTTATGTTCAGCATGCAGATAGATCCATAATGTGGTTAATGAATCTCAGAGGTATCCTACTGTGAAAATATAGTTTCTATAGTTAAACACAATCACTAAACATTTCAGGTTTTTTTTGCCAACATAGTTTGTTCATGGTGTATGAGCTATGTGGCTTGTGTGGAGTAAGAAGAAGTGACAGTATCTAATCAGTCATCCACCAGTGTTGAGGGGAATGGAGTATATTTGTCAAAATCTTCAAGATTGTGGGTGTAATGTTACAATCCAAGGCCTGCCTCCCACCTTCTTGCAGATTTTGACCATCCCTCTCTTACCTACCCCAAATGCCTCTGCTGTCATCCTTTTTTACAAATAATCTGATGTTGTCTTAAGTTAGGTTTGGTTTTTAAAAAAAGGAACAGAGGATGAGAAGATGCTTATATTTTTTTTAAAAAAGCAATTCATTTGTGCATATGCCATTCATTCCCACCCCAATTATTTTTATTGTAAAAATGGTGGTGAATGATAATGCTTCATCCTTGGAAAATTCCCTCCAAATTCTTTATTTAAATAGCAGAACACTGGGAGACTTGCATAAATTAGATGTATGAAATACTGCTTTTGTACATTAACATCTAGAGGGTTTAAATATTTTTTTCTCCTGTCTGTTGTTTTTATAAATAACTGAAGGCATCGAACATACTTAATACTCTTTCTTATTTTCCCCATAACAACAGTCCTGTGAGGTGAGGTGATCTAAGAGAGAGTGACTAATGGAATAATTCTCTTAATAACTTTATAGTTTTTCAAATAAAATGACTTGGCCCAAATCCATGTGATGTGTCATGATTTTGAAATCCCATTTTAAAGACTCAGTCAAAGCAGTGACTGATCCCATGGAGGTTTCCTTGGAAACAGAGGTTGAACTAAGACTGAATCCTGAACCATGAAACTTGCTTAATGAGCTTGGGTGAATTTTTCAGCCTAATCCATCATAGGGTTATGAAAACATTGGTAGGGAAAGAATTGTGTATTATCTTTTGATCTTCTAAAGAAAGGTCAAATTTTTATTTTATCAAATAAATGTTCATAACTTCCCAGCTATGATTTCCTCTAGACAGAATGGGGATTGTGTTTAGCATTATTTTTCATCCATATACTTATAATAAGTGTCTGTGTTTACTAGATAGCAAAGATACTGGAAAAGGAACTTCTTCTTCTGAAGTTGATAATTCTGATAAGTAAGTGAATAGTAAAAATTGTTTTCCTTTTGTTTGTAGTGTATCACAGTGTTGCAAAGTATACTGAGAAGATGAATGTCCTCTCAAAGCCATCCAATAAAATTCATTGATAATAAATTTAGGCTAAAAATCAGGAAGTAATTTCCTCGTGCTTCACACATTAATATATGGTATTAGTTGCCAAAGATGTGGTAATTGGAAGCCGTAAAGCAACAAGATGAATGAGGTTGTGTTATGGAAACTAATCGAATCTCTCACTACTGCAAGTAGTCAACTAGATGCAAACACACTGTCGAACTGCCTGTCCCACAGAATTATTTGATGAAAAATCCAGAGAGCTCCCTTGATCTTTCAATAATCCACCAGAATTTATTAATCCTTAGGACCAACCATTCGCATTTAGATTTCCAGTCTATGCATGAGAGAATAATTGCTATAACTTCAATAGGAAGTGGTAAGCTTTGGTAAGAGAATTCATATAAAATCCCACACTTTTTAATTAGCATTCTCCTGAAAAGACTGGAAATGTCACAATAAAGTTATCTTCATTGATCTCCAGTGCTGCCATTGCAACATACTTTCCTCTGTATGCTAAATTCAATTTATTCTCAACACAGTGCACCGGAAGATAATGTTACAGTTCCAGAGCATGAGAGTAGCAAAGTGGAGTTGCATGAGATCACAGAAAAGTCACGAGTAGCTACAGGTGTTGTATTACTATTGTTTTTGAAGTGCAAGTTTTTGTTTATTTACATATATCTTAAAGTATATACCTTTACATTAATCATGTTTGTATGAACAGGGTTGGAAGATCATCCAGGAGGAGTTACAGATACAATTCCTATACCTTCAGCTAGGTAATTACAATAACAAAAACTGTTCGTGTTAGCTATGACTATGAATGGAATGAACATGTATTTGGAGTGTTGGGAAGTGCTGATTTGAAGATCTGTTAATTTGATCTTTTCCCTTCTGGTGAATGTAATCATTGAGAGCTCTTTGTGACACCAGGACTTAGACCAGTGGTTCTCAACCTTTCTAATGCCGCGACCCCATAATACAGTTCCCCATGTTGTGGTGACCCCCAACCACTTATACATCACTGGGTGCCAGGGGCACGGCCAAAGAAAAGGGGAAAAAAATGGCGGAAAGCCTTGTTTGGCGACCCCCGTGAAATGGTCGTTCGACCCCAAATGGGGTCCCGGCCCACAGGTTGAGAACCACTGACTTAGACAAATCAATATCTGGTTGTATTAAGATCAGTGGATCAAATTAATTCTGGTAGGAGTAATGGACTCATAAAAGTAGACTGTCTTAAGGTGACTGAATATCCTTTGAGGTTTTCCACTTCTTTGGTTGTTGATAAATTAGAAGTCTTAAATGAATACAGAAATTGCTTAGGCAATATGATACTAAAGTGTGCAGGAGAGACTCTGCTTTCAGAAGTCTATGTATAGGTAGCCCTCAATTATGACCACAATGAGCCCAAAATTTCTGTTGTTAAATGAAGCAGATGCTAAGTGACTTTTGCCCCTTTTTTGCCACAGTTATTAAGTGAATCACTGCAGTTGTTAAGTTAGTAATACAAGTGTTAAGTGAATCTGGACCTCCCTCATCAGAAGGTCGCAAAAGGTGATCACACAGCCCTGGGACATGGAAACCGTCATAACTATAAACCAGTTGCCAAGTATCCAAATTTTGATCACGTGACTATGGGGATGCTGCAAAGGACATAAGTGTGAAGAATGGTCATAAGTCACTTTTTTCAGTGCCGTTGTAACTTTGAACACTAAATGAACTATTGAGAATAATGGACTAACTGTATTAGCATGCAGAAGAGATAGTTTTTTATGGCATAATATATACCGTTTTTATTGTTTATCCATGTAAACAGTAGCTCTTAATATCCAGACAGATGGAACATTTTAAATTAGTCTGAATAAAATTAAGAAACTAAATTTTGCTATTTTAACCTCATAGCTAGGAACAGGAACCTATGATTGCCAGTGGTTTCACTTTCTCTCATTTTGTTTGGAATAAAATCTGCTGAAGTACATAGATCTATGTTAGGATTCCTATGGAACTACTTATATGCATGCCCATCAGAGTAAGTAAGTACAGCAAAAGGCTTTGAATTAATAAGCAAAAGAAACTACAGCTATGACTTTATATATATAAGAGTCAATATAGTGAAAAATGCATAGTTGCTGTTCCAATGTCTTGGGTTCCTGGAATATTCAGTTGCTTATTTTGTCTTCAAGAATTCATGGATTATAATTCTGTTTCCTGTAGGTCTTCTAAAGAAATAAAAGTAGGAGAAACTAGTGGTAGTCCAGATATGAGATCAGATAGAGATTCTTCAGAGAGAAAAATAGAGTTGTCTTCCCCAAGTGCCACAGAGACATCAACATCAAGCACAGGTATCTGTCTTAATTTCCTTATAGAAGTTCTATAGGTTAAGAAGGCAGATAGTAAGGAATTTCAAAGCCATCACAAAGTTGGTCATTAAGAAACTTCTTAAGTGCAGTTGCATGAATATATCTTCTCCAACCTAATGTTGTCCAGATGTCATGGGATTATAGTTTCCAGAATTTTCAGCCAGCATTACCAAAGGATTATAATCCCAATGCATTTGAACTGTTAGGAGGATCATCAGTTGTAGGTTTCAAAATTAGGTAGTTATCACACTTGCTGGCTATAATATTTATAGAAATCTGTTCTACATTATTATGTTAATTTGGCAGTATAAGATCTTCAGCAGTTTCATTAATTCCTACACAACGCAAGAAATGTTGGACTATGTGGCAGAAATCCAAATAAAATATATCTGTATCACAGAATTAATCAAGGAGAGAAGCAACCTAGAACTAAGGAGAAACTTCCTGACAGTGAGAACAATTAATCATTGGAACACCCTGCCTCCGGAAGCAGTAAATGCTCCAACACTGGAAGTTTTTAAGAAGAGCCTGGACAGCCATTTGTCCGAAATGGTGTAGGGTTTCCTGCCTGAGCAGGGGGTTGGACTAGATGACCTCCAAGGTCCCTTCCAACTTTACTACTATTACTATTACTAATGTTGACCTAAGGAAGAACTACAATAGCAATAGCACTTAGACTTACAGTATATACCAGGGGTGTCAAACTGCCGGCCTGCAGGCTGGATGCATCATAGCGAAACCATGCCCACCCCATTGCCGGCAATGGAAAAAAAGTCACGATACGTCGCAACATGTCACATGATGTCGCAAGTTTGACATCCCTGGTATATACTGTTTCACAGTGCTTTACAGCACTTTTTAAGTGATTTACAAAATATTGCCCCCCTCCAATAATATGGGTCCTCATTTTACAGATTTCTAAAGGATGGAAGACTGAGTCAATCTTGAGCCAGTGAGGATTGAATTCCTGGAATGGGCAACGTTAGCCTACAATACTGCATTCTAAACGCCACCACCAATATGACAACCTTTCTTATTGACTGGATTCTCACATTAACTTGGCAGTATGCAAAGAAAAAGTATAACTGGACTAAACTCTGAGAACCAAAATGATGGCATTGAAATACAAATTTAGCAAAGTTATGTTAGAATACATTTCTCTATTTTCTGTTGATATGGATGTAGACTAAAATTTATGTGCAATCAAGTTCTTCTTTCAAAACAAAACAAAGCTTGTAGGAATTTTTGACATAGGAGCCTATTTGTCTTGCAGGAAGGAGGGGAAGACAGCCATAATAAACAGTGGAGTCAAATCTGATTCCACTTGAAGTATTTGAGAAGGAAGAGGGAGGATAGATTTCATTAAAACAACAGGAGCCCAGATTGGTTCTAGATGCTATTATACTTGGCATAGGATCTTTTCAAAATCTATGGAACTAGTCCTATTTAATCTATGTTGGTATCAATCTTGATCCAAATCAGCTACAATAGTAAACATGCTATAATGCTTTGAAGACTTAACATGAATTACACATACCATTTCACTACAACAAAGCTTTAACATAAATTATCTTGTTGCAGATGAAGCTAAGAGTTGCCTCATGAGCTGACAGTGTATGCTATATTTTAATTATAATTTTCTTGATTCATAGTTTACCATAAAAATACCTCACCCCAAAAGGCACTGGATATCATACAGCATCAAACAAACAACAAATGAAAAACAGTATAAAAATATAAACAACAAAAAACAAAGATAAAACCCAAAAGGTGCCCCGTCCCTAGCCCTACTGAAATTCAACAGCAAACTGACCAAACATTGGTTCTGTGATTTGAGGTTATGTTTGTTTGTTTTGCAGTGAGGATATTAAGGATGGGATATTACCAGCTGTCTCCAAGAGTAGCTGCTATTATTCTTTTCCTATTCCCACTCAACTCCCATAGAAACAAGCTGAAGTACTTAGACCAAAGTGCTGTCTGAAAATCTCAGACATAACTCTTCTAGGAGCATTGCCACATCTGCTGACCTCCTGAAAGTTTGGAGTCTGAGTCTGATCACATGTTGACCATCTTCAGGTACTTGAAAAGTGCTATCCTGTCCTCTGTTAATCTACTTTTCTGCAAAGAGAGAAAGGTCTGGGTAGCCACAACATATTCAGTAGATAGAGATGGGCTAGAAGCCATCAAAACAGTCTCAGGATAAATGGCCTATAGGAAGATATTTATATTTAAAATGTTCATAGCCAGTACAGAACAAAATTGGGTTTCCATGTGAATGATGCATTTGTTTTATGAACAGGAAAAACCAAGAGCTTTCCAAGGATATTGGGAGGAGTTCGGAGAGAACGTGAAATCAGCAGGTGAGTATTTAAGATGAGTAGTTTATTGTTAAGTAACAATATTCCATACTTTAATGATGTCCCTGCCTGTAAATTCCTCTCTTCCAAATGATGGCTGGAAGAGTTGGAAATAACTTATCTTCCTTCTAGCATTGTGCTTTAAACAATGAGTGCAATTATAGAAATCTTTTTCAGCTGGGCAGTTAGCAGGTGCATTAGCTTACAATTCCAGAATTCATAAGAATCCAAAGTATCTGTAAGGGTCCAGGCAGTTTGTGGAAGGCTGGACTACATTGTGTATGCGTATGATGTATACACAAGGGCACCTGCTGGAGGACAGGAGAATAAAATACAACATTAGCATGTTGACCTCATACCTCAAATTCCACAACGTATATACTTGAGCCAGACTTTAGGACTCAATAGATAATGGTGGCATTTCTCTCATGATACAACTGTGCATGTGGCATCATTGTGGTTTACTATTATTGTCACTGCTTTCCGATTGAGAGAAGTACATTCTAGCTGATGTTTTTTTATCTTTTAAACTTTGCTATGGCTACAGTTTTGTGCTCACTGCTAAATTAATATTTCATGATTGATGTATTTCTTTCTCATCTTGACTGTTCCTTGATATGTTTATCAACTCTTTTCTTCAAAGAGTTCAATAACAAATAATGGTGGGTGGGGTAGGAAATTAAGGCTGTGGAGTGCAGCTGCGGCCTATATACAGCACTGGGAGCAAGCCACTCCCAGTGCTGACTTTATTCCAGATGAAGTGAATAAAACTTCAGTTGTCAATCGTGCCTGTTTGTCGGCTGTTCTGTGAAGCATCAAACCAGGACGACCTGACAATAAGATTGTGATCAGAGAAATATAATCTCTCAGAATAAGAAAAATTCTACCTTAGCCAAGTAAGTATTAAGAACTGTACTGGATCTTTGCATAGAGTGATGCCTTATCTCTTGGTAAAATCCTTCAAATATTTGGTTTTCTATTGTTTAAAAGCAGTGGGCAACAAATATCATTTTGGGACATGATACATTGGAGTTTATTTGAAGATAATTTGATTATATGATATCTTGTATCTGCTGAAAGGGAGATGTTGGATACAATTGCTGATATGCCTCAGAGACCCTTCGAAATATCTGTCTCAATGCAGACAGATGCAAGTTGGATTCATGACCACGTCTATAAGAGAGAGCGTAAGTAATGAGCTTATTGTATGTTGGAAATATTATATATATTTTGAAGAAATTTTCATTGTCTTGAGGAAAGAAAAACTGCTACTTGTTTATCTGTTTACTCTAACTGGAGATGTTGTCAGGTTCTTTTTTGCAGCATTTGCTATATGATGTATTTTGATAGAGAGATTAGACTATTTCAACCTGGAATCTTTGGCATGCAAAACATGCTTTACCAACCATCAGTGGTTCTTCATGAAAGTACAATTAGCTAGGCAGGAAATGAATTTGGACCCAGGATCCCTTGTTAAGCACAAATATTTTATTCTGAAATTTATCACACTATATATTTAAATTTTGGAAATTTGTGAAAGTTATAGTATTTTTTCTCATTGTCTGAATATCTCTAGAGTACATCAGTTTGTTGCATGGGGATGTACCATTGCAGGCTTGTTGGAAAGTTCTGTTGCTATAAAATTTGGGAGCTGGACTGTTATCCAAAGATAAAGGAATATAAGATACGTTGCTAATTCTTAAATAACTTCACTGGTTGCCATCATTCTAGTTCTTGATTGCTACTTATTTTCCTAGAAAGCCACATACAACTTTGGTCTAGAGTTCAGAAGGACAGCCTACTTCCACTTAAAATTGCTAAGGGCCTTTTATATTAAAATTTGTAGAGATCAGGTTAATGATGGCCATAGAATAGACATCTGAATTGTAGCACCCCACCTATAGAATACTTTTCTCTTGAAAGATCTTCTGGCATTGAATCTTGTGTGTTGCTGGTCTTACCCAAAACTGGATCTGTGTGTGTGCTGGTATTATTTTGGTATGCTAATTATATTTTTGCATTTTTAATATATATATTTGCTTTAAACATGAGTTGTTAAATTGTTAAACTTCATTGGGAAGCTGGAACAAGAACATTATTAAATCTTTTAGATAAGAATGCATTAACAGAGTTTAAAACAAGTGTCCAGGTTCGTGACTATTCTTCTTTCACTTTATAAGCTATAGTTTAGACCACTGTTTTTCATTGTTTGGCAACTTTGTGTGCATTTCAACTCCCAGATTTCTCAGCCAGCATGGGAGCTGAAGTCTAGGTAACATACGGTTACCAAATTTTAAAAACATTGGTCTAGAGTCCTCTTTGCCAATTTGATATCAAATTCTGCTGCCCTGCTTGCTACCAGGTGTCATCCAGTTCTAACAGTGGTAATATTTGGAAGAAGTATTTAAAATATATACAGTTTTCGTTTATCCTTTTCTTTTTGGCTTCATCTTCTGTTTGAATTCTGTATTCCTCTGATCACCCAAAAGCTAAAGTGGAAAGCTGGAGTAGCATTTTCTTAATTAGGAATATCAGGGTTTAATTTCTCAGAATATTTTCCCTACTCTCTACAGTATATATTTTTAAAGGAAAATACACAGAAAACCAGCATGCTGCTCCTTGTCAGTCTGAAAGATGACATAGGTAAGATGGTGACAAAAACGTAGGTGGAGCATCCAATGAAATGGATGTGGTTTAATTTAAACTGAATGATGAAGTAAAATGAACTAGCATGTATATGTATGTATATGTATAGGTGTGTGTATGTGTGTGTGTATAAATATGCATACTACCTCTTCATATTTACAACTCATTGTCATCTTGGGAAGGGGACTTATGGGTTAACTCATAGTTACCCATAGTTTTGGGGGCTGTAATCTTAGTTTAAAATCTTTGTTGTTGGCAGTGCATGCTATCTCTGCAAATTGCAATCTCATGTTGCTGAGCAATTTTAATTTTTCTGATTGAAAAACTCTGCATGGAAGCAGAGGAGCCTATATGGTTCAGAGTGGCCCGTTTGAACATTTATTTTCTGCCCAGTTGCTGCCTCCGTTCTTTTTTTATTCAACCTATTTTTGATCTTCTTCAAAAGAGAGAAAGAAGAAAAAGAACGTTGATAGAAATGGACTGCTTTTTTTTCCTTTTCAGCTCCCCTTACAGCTCCAAAGGAGACTCAAAAAGAAATTCCTCCTGAGAATGGTAAGTTGCTCCCCAAAACATCTATTATTCATTTTGAGAATAATTTTTATTTCTATACTTTTTGAATCCACAGATTCCTATCAGCGAGCTATCAAACTGAAGGTATATCTAGTATGTTATTGTTCTTCATCCACTAGGCTGCAAAAGACATCTTAGTTTTAATTTCCATTGAAAGCTGAGGCATTTTGATGGTTGCTGGTAGATTCTCTCTGTCTCTTCACTGTATAAAAGCTGTGCTGCCATTTTTGGCTCTGTAATGTCTGTATATGGCTGTCCTTTAAGTTTTGATTTCTATTTCGGCATATCACTTTTGCCAGTTCATTATGGAAATATAACCTTTTAGAGAGGGCAGTCATTCTGGTTGAACCTAAAGCTATGGGATACAATTGCACAGCTGGTGTGGAAGTCTACAGCTAGTCCTCATTTATTGAACACAGTTGATTCTGATGACTGTTATTAAACAGGGCAGTTGCTAACTGAAAATCACATGACTGGGCTCATGATTTTACTTTAGCTTTCCTTTTCCTTCTGCCCTTTGGAATGCTAATCCTGGCACTAGGACAATTAGAAAGCAAAGAATTAGTTTGTATTTACAATCATTAGGGAGGAAGGGATTACAAGAGAATAAGCAGGCACACAATGGGGAATACACATAGAAAGCAATGCGGTTTGCCTAGTGCAGGGGTGTCAAACTGCCGGCCCGCGGGCTGGTTTCATCATACCGGAGCCACGCCCACCCCATTACCGGCAATGGCAAAATAGTTCCAATATGTCTCGCGATGTCACGTGACGTCACGAGTTTGACATGTCTGGCCTAGTGGCTTCAGAGGTAAAAGAAAGCCTTCAGTGTGAAAAGGATTAAGGTTCTTGTCAATCTCTGCAGCAGGTTCTAATCAACTAATTAAGGTTACCAGCTGAGTTTGTTAACTTGCTCTTTAGCACTTCTTACAAACATGGTCTGTGGAGAAAAGTGGTCAGGAAGAGGTAGCTTCTTCAGGCCATCTCTCTGCTCTGCAAGGTGGTGAGAGGAGAAAAAAAAACAGGTCAGGAATAGAACAATAGTATTAAGTGACTATAATGGTGAACATATGACTGACAGTCATTGTGAATGTGATAAATGTGGGCATTGATTGCAAAGTCCCTTTTTCACCACTGTTGTAACTGAACAGTTGCAGTCACAATTAATTGCTAAATGAGAACTAGCTGTATATTCTATGAGTTATATGTACTATTTTTTTAATATTCTAGAAATGGAATGATCCCACTCTCTTCCTAAAATGCAGTTCTCTTCCAGCCCAATTCTCCACAAACTGCTGCCCCCAGTGTACTGGCCCTACAGTGCTGAGAGTGCTAATCTCTGCATGTCCAGTAAGCACTAATTTGAAGGAAGACTGCAGGAACCTAAGAATTCTATTTAGAGTTGGCTTTTTTTAGAATTCCACTGGCTGAATACATACCACATGCTAATCTGATTAGATTGGGATTGGGAAATTTGTGGTTCAGCATGCTGTGGAATTCTAGCTATTGAATTAATATGTTAGACCAACCAGACCATCACATGATGTAATAATATGATTTGTCAGGGAAAGCCTGTTATATTAACATGGTCATGGTGTTTTGTTAATTTGGATATAATAAAATGTGTTGCCTGAGCTCAGCTTTTAAGCATCCAATAGTTAAATGAGAACCATATATATATATTGCTTTAAGATTCAGTTCATAAAGGAGAATATACCCTTTCCTAACTAATTCTCTTTATTGATGCCTAGATATCTATGCTGTTATTCCCCAAGATCTCAGCTGCTTAGACATTTTATGCGACACAGAGGTATCAATCATAAGTGATCTCTATACAATTTATTGGAACCTATTCTCATTTTAGTTTACCTACCTCCTTCCCCATCCCTGCCTCTCACAATTAAATAAAAATGGAGGCTGTTTATTCTGCAGTGATGGTGCAGGAATACTCTAGACAAGTGGTTTGAGGTTTGCAATAAATTATTTTTTTTCTCTTTTTTTAAGTTTAGAGAAGACTTCTTAAAACTGTTTCAAGAATCTCTGCAGACAATTTCCAGTGTTGGCCCACCTACTATTCTAGCTTATAGACCAGAGTCATCAAGAGCAGATATTCACATTGAGGTAATGGCTCTACCCACCCACCTCCTTTGCATTACTTTGCACTATAAATCTATAACTTCTTATTCTTTACTGAAATGGGCAACGCTGTTTGCCACTTCCCTTTCTTCCTGGATAGGGAAGAACACTTTGGAGAAGGAGGGTGAAGGGAGGGGGGGGGATTAGGAGAAATACCGCTGGTATTCTGCTCAAAATTTCAGTTTCCCATAGATACCTCTGCTGAGGAAAGAATCATGCAAATATACCTTGTGTTCAGTTTAGCCTGGAGGATTAACCTTTGTTTTCTGAAGAAAGAAAATAGTTACATGCTTCTACAAGTCCACCACTTCAGAATGCAATTGCATGACAGAATATCTCATCTTCTTAAAAACTACACTGATGAAAAATTCTGATGAAAAGATGTCTATAACAGAGAAAGTGATGCATTGCCTTCTATCCAATATATGAATTTTCTATGTATAGTCAGCTTTCTTTTATTTCAAACTTACAATGCTGAAGTATTTAACAAGTGAAAAACACAAATGTAGGCAATAGCACTAAAAGAACAATCCAGTCACAAAAATTATAAAGAGTGTTATAAAAGAGAAAAACTAATCTCCCTGTAAGTTATATAACAGAATAACTCCAAGTATTTGGCCATTAAATAAATTTTTACCTTTCCATTTCTGGACATAAGGATGTGAAACTATTTTATAGATCTGACATCTCAATAAGATTACATCATATTTCTTTAAGATTTTCCGCTAGCTTAAGTAGATACTTCAAGATACACAAACAAGATAATAATAATAATAATTAATAATAATAATGTTGAAAGGGACCTTTGAGGTCATCAAGTCCAATCCCCTGCTCAGGCAGGAAACCTTATACCATTTCAGACAAATGCTGCCAGTCTCTTCTTAAGAACTTCCAGTGTTGGAGCATTCACCGCTTCTGGAGGCAGGTTGTTCCATTGGTTAATTGTTCTAACTGTCAGGAAGTTTCTCCTTAGTTCTAGGTTGCTTCTCTCCTTGCTTAGTTTCTACCCGTTGCTTCTTGTTCTGCCTTCAGGCGCTTTGGAGAATAACTCTTTGCCCTCTTTTTTATGGCAACCTGTGAGATATTGGAACACTGTTAGTCCCCCCTCGTCCTTCTCTTTATTAAACTAGACATACCCAATTCCAGCAACCATTCCTTATGTTTTAGCCTCCAGTCCCCTGATCATCTTTGTTGCTCTTCTCTGTACTCTTTCTAGAGTCATCTTTTTTTACATCTTTTTTACATCATGGTGACCAAAACTGGATGCAGTATTCCAAGTGTGGCCTTAGCAAGGCATTGTAAAGTTGTATTAACAATTTGCGTGATCTTGATTCTATCCCTCTGTTAATGCAGCCTGCCTAGCACTGTGTTGGCTTTTTTGGCAGCTGCAGCACACTGCTGGCTCATATTTAAGTGATGGGCCACTAGGACAATCTGTGAATGTTCCAACACTGGAAGTTTTTAAGAAGAGACTGGCAGCCATTTATCTGAAATGGTATAAGGTTTCCTGCCTGAGCAGGGGGTTGGACTTGATGATCTCCAAGGTCCCTACCAACTTGATGATGATGATGATTTATCATCACATAATCAGCCAGATGTTCAGACTGGATTTGGCATTTTTGTCTACCTATCAAATCCTTACCAAGGACCTGGGATAGGCAGATGTGGATGTTTGATGGTATTACAGATATCGTCGCAGGATGGAAGCAGTTCCTAGTAAGGCTGCCTTTTGCAATTGACTAATGGTGAATTTGTCAATGCCAATGGTATTCAAGTGGTGCTCCAGTTGTTTTGTGATTGCACCCAAGGCGCCTATTGCTATTGGTACTACCCTTGCTTGCTTTTGCCAGTCTTTCTATTTCTATTTGTAGGTCTTTGTATTTTGCTATCTTCTCCAGCTATTATTATTATTATTATTATCATCATCATCATCATCATCATCATCATCGTGTACCTTAAAGTATTTACTCCGAGATCCCTCTCACAGTTACTACTATTGAGCAAGGTATCACCTATACTATACCTGTGCATTTGGTTTTTCTTGCCTAAATATAGAACCTTACTTTTTTCACCATTGAATTTCATTTTGTTAGATGAGATAGAAGAGCTGTGTGTTTTGGACAATATTGGCAAATTCATTTTTAGAATATGGGATTGAGGAGAATTGCAATCCCTTTCACTGCTTTGTTGCTTGTCATCCTTTAACAGCTTTTAAAAGCCAGTTGTCTCTGATCCCTAATGAAATTGCAAAATGATTCATTTACAGTTGGTTGTAATCCCTTTAGAAAGGAGAAGGAAAAGCAAGGCTTGTCCTACCTCTGAAACAGGTGGGGGTAAGAACATAGAGCAGCAACAATGCTTAATGATTGTGGTGCACAGCTGCCTAACACCATCTGTTCTCAAGGAACTTCAGAAATAAGAGATGAAAAAGCACAAAAGGTTTTTCCACCATCCTTCCCATACAGCAGGATTGCGTTCATATAATTAAATGTTATTTATTACAAGACAGAGCCAGCATCATCCACGTGGCAATTCATATTTTGTGGTTTTCTTTTTTTTTCTGAGAACTGACTTTTGTTTTTTTTACAAACTTTGGTTAAACATTCCTGAAAAGCTATTAGGAATAAGCAAAATGTCAGGGCAATGTGACATTAGTTGTGGCTAAGTAAAAACATTTTTAACTCTCAAGTTGAAGTTTAAAGACCAAATTTGCTTCAAAAGCAATTGGATATTTGACCAAAAATCAGCAATTTGAGATTTTCTCTTTTGTCTCATAAGCAGCATTTACAGGTACAAATCACTATATCTATACCTACAAGTGCTGTTTAGGGGAGACAAGAAAAATCTTCCTTCCTCCCTACAAATCAGCCAGTTTTTCATGTTTGGAATCTGGAAAGATGAGTGGAAGGAACAATTGTTTTCTATACACCTTACTCATATAAAATCCTTTGACAGTGTCCAATATTTTTCTTTAGCTAATCTTTTCCATTGATGTTTATTTAATGGGTTCCGTAGGGTTTTGTCTAATTTTGTGTTCAGATAATCAGTGTGTATTAATTTTTTAAATAATAAAGATTCCTGCAAATTCCAACTTTGCTTAATTTTGCACATAGTGTGCAGTCAATTTGGCTATTGTGGCCTTCCTGGTAAATATTAAATCCTAAATGGTTTTATAATGGGGAATAAGATATTATGAAACAATAAGCAAAGGTTGAACACTTTTATGTCTCATTGATTTCTATGACTATGGAGCTAGCATAAGTTCAATACTGTCATATAATGGGTTTTAAAAGTTCTTAACTTAGATTTGATAGCTATATGCCAAATTAGCATCTGGTAATGCATATAGCTAGACAATTAATTCAGAGAGAGTTGCATGTTTTTTTCCCTTGTTAAGTTAAAATTACTCATACTGTGTTCTGTTTAAGCATTAAGAATAATAAATGGCAAGACCGTGTAGTACTTTGATTTAGTTCCAAAACAGAGCTTTGGAGTGTATGGAAGCACAAACATGGCTTCCATCTGCTACTCATTAAGGCAGCTATGTCTTTCTCATATGGCTGTGAGTGCCTTAGAGTTGAAACTGTTTGGACAGGATCAGTTCTGAACTCATCAAATCACTGGCAGACAAGAAAATGCCATTTGTTGGGGAGGGGGGAGAAGGAAATAATCAAAGCAATTAGTTCACTCTAGTTTGTTTCAGACTGAGCAATTCCTTTACAGGTAGTCCTCGACTTATAACCACAATTGAACCCAACATTTCTGTTGCTAAATGAGACATTTGCTAAGTGAGTTGTGCCCCATTTTACTATCTTTCTTGCCACATTTGTTAAGTGAATCACTGCAGTTATTAAGTTAGTAACAAGAGTGTTAAGTTAATCTGGCTCCCACATTGACTTTGCTTGTCAGAAGGTCGCAAAAAGTGATCACATGGAACACTGGAACACTGCAACCATCATAAATATGAAGCAGTTGCCAAGCAACTGAATTGTGATCACGTGACCATAGATTTGCTACAAAGGTCGTAAGTGTGAAAAATGGACATAAGTCACTTTTTTCAGTGCCGTTATAACTTCAAATGGTCATTAAATGAACTGCTGTAAGCTGAGGATTACCTGTATTAGCATGCAGAAGAGATTATTTTTTGTGTAATATATTCCCACTTTTATTGTTTATCTGTGCAAATAGTGAGTCTTAATCTCCAAGTAGAACATTTTAAATTAGTTTGAATAAAATTAAACTAATTTTGCTATTTTAACCTCAGGAACAGAAACCTATGATTGCCAATGGTTTCACTTTTTCTCCAGATCTGTTATTCGGTTTATTATTATTATTCAGTTCTATTGTAAGTCAGGGACTACCTGTATTTTTTAAAAATAATGGAAAGAAAGTTATCCAAATATATTTAATTCATTTAGCTCAGTTAGTGCACAGGAAGAGAATGAAAGCAAAAATTGGGGTTGGGAATTAATTAGTCAAATGAATATGTTGTGTTGACTCCAGTCCACGTATGCACTGTAGTCAAAATGTCAACATAAAAACACGTCTTTGTGATGTTGAGCAGCCAACAAATAGGACAGTTTTTGTGTTTTTCCTTCAGAAACTCCTTTACACTATTCTTTGGACAAGCAAACAGCATTTGCCACGTCTGTTTCTCAGTTTTCTTCTCCAAACAGCCATGCAACTTTTCTTTAAATTTCAGATTTGTTAAGTAAATGAAAGTTGTGAGTAAATAAGATGGCCAGTCTTTTAAACTTTTAATATACATGTGGTCTATATATTATTTGTGACAATTCTCCCAAATTTAATATTACCCCACTGATTTATTACAGTAGCAATATTTTAAACTTGTACAATCTGTTTTCCTCCTCTCCAAAAACACTGCAAAGCCAAGTCAGTGCTCATTTTCCAATACCATTGCTTTTAAGTGAAGGCTGAAATGTTGATGCCTAAACGATCTGCCATCGCTCTTCAGGCACTGGTATTAATCCAGTCTTTAAAATGAGGCTTTTCGCACTCGCCCAGTCATCTATTATTTTGAGCTGCCCGTTCTACTCTTGTGTCAGGGGAATTTTATGGTCTTGTTTTCTCTGCTTTATACTCAGAGATGTTACAATAATCTGTGACTTAGAATAGGGTAGTATATCCAGATAAAAGTACATTTTCTGATCATCCCACCCAGGTGTTACATGTATGTTGATGAAATGCACATGTACATATTTCGTGTTTTGCTTCAAAATGATACAGGAATGGGATAATTATCATTCTGCAGTTTCTGCACCTAGTCCCATCCATGAGGGGATCATGTTGGTGCAAAGGAAAGGTGACTGCAAAAAATCATAGACTTCCATCGGAATATCCCACTTCCTTTACAAGCTCAGAACCATTAACAATATGGGTAAACTGTATTCAGTAACATCAGTTGCACATCAGTAACATCAGTTCCACATTAAGGCAAGCACTTAATTAAAATAGAACATAAAAAGAAGCACAATTTCTCTGTAATGCCATTTAAAACAATACTGTTATATACATTTATATTTAAAGATTGCTTTTTCCAAGCTGGATATCTGTTGACTCTCAGTCACCATGGCCTTTGCTGAGAAATTTAGGAACTGACATTCACATCCTTAGAAGGCACTCAGGTTGGGAAAAAGTATAAAGTATATAAAAAGGCAGGTCGCTTTTTACTCTAGTAGCATTTCAGCTGAGAAAAAACCCAACCTGGGTTCCAAAACAGGCCAGCTAAGAAATCCCAGGGTGATGTAGAAGTGTGTGCACATAGCAAAGGAGTCACCCACATCCGATAGGTTTCCCTCCAGCAAGTCACAAGCAGCCCAAAAGTCTGTTTTGCAACCTCCAGAACCCTCTTGCCTATCAACATTCAATGACCCTTTTATGATTGAATCACTGCCAGTTTCAGCATTAAGCTTTAAAAAATCTTAGCATATTTTAACTGCCTGAAACACCCCAAAGCAATCCCTGAATCTGCATTACTTTCAAATGTCATTACTTCACCTAACCAGTGAAGAGAAATAACAATAGCAACTTCCGCCAGAAGTCAGAACATTCTAACTTGGGGAGCCAGAATGGAGTATTTTAGGAGAAACTGTTTTAGTCCGGGAGGGAGTATAAATGTACCCTCCATCGATAATTGAGTGGGCAATGAGGAGAAAGAGTGCCACCCCACAGAAACCCAGGCTATGAACCCTATAATTTTTGTTTAGATAACTATTATAAAACTTTCTGAAATGCCCCCCCCCACCTTCTTCTCTGCAGGTCCAGAAGGAAACTCCAGAAACCTGTGAATTCTGTGGCAGCCCCCTAATATACTTCCCTTCATTTGAAAGTCTGGAACACATAGCAGAATGGGGAGATGTAAGTACTGAGAGCAAATTCTCCACATGGTTTTTCCATTGGATCCAAAGTCCACCTGTCCAGCAGGTAAGAGCAGGACCTTGCTTTCCAGCTTTTCTGTTGCCAGCAATGCCGGGATCTTCATGAGTTTATTGTCAGTGAAAAAAATCGCTATCCAAAGAAAATGGAGATGATTGATATTGCCCCTCATAAGGCCCACGGAAGTCAAGCTGACCGAGAACGGGCAAAAGAAAGAGCTCGACAAAGGTATGCCAAACTGGGGGGATACATATTTGAGCCCTTAAGATAGTTAGGGGGAACACTAAAATCTGATGCCTCAAAGCTACAGTACCTGCACCTCTGAAAGCTCATGTTTCCTGCAGAAATCTCTAGAAGTTGTTACCAAATTTAAAGTACAGCGTGACAGAAGGAAAATTACTAATTACACAGCTGAAGACTAATAACTGTGTTGAATTTTAATTTAAATGAAATCAAATGAAATCAAAATTTATTTTTGTTCTAGCCTCACCCATTTCTTTTGGGAACACAATCTATAGAGTATGCAGTTTAAAGTTAGGTAGCTATTATACGTCACAAAATGGACCACTTTAAACCATCACATTGGGTTGTATTCTACCATAAGTTAAGGAAGTTCAGGGGAAGAAAATTTCTAACTTCTCTCCTTGAAGTTTAAATGAGCTCCCCAAAAGTTACCAGACAGGAAGATGACTCTCCAGCTTAATATGAGTTATAGGCCTTGGGATCCTGCAATATGTCTATTTTAGGATGCACATCTAAGGAACTTTAATCATATCTCCTCCCTCAGAGGGAGGTTGCATAATTCAGTAAAGAAACTTTGGAGGGAATCTATGTGAGTAGATGGAAATTGGTCTGTCATTAATGTCTTTAACTTACCTGAGACTTCCTGTACTTGAGCTTTTATAGATATTATTGATGCAGAAGATCTGGTCCAACTAATTAAGACTTCATCAATCTTAAGCATATAGTGAAACTCTAATGATTATAGCTGTTAAAGAAATGGTGTTATGGAAAAAAGATAAATCGAAGTAGAAGAGCTTATTTTTTTAGACACAGTTATGAGAAGCAGCTAGAGCATTTAGTGCTCTTAAAGCATTGCTGGGAAGAAATCATCAAGTGCTTAGCCACTCTTGCATGGGATGCTGCAAAGCTCAGCTTGTTCCTTTATTCCCACATAGGGTCTAGTATCGATATGCTGATGAGAGCCTCAGGCTCAGCAGGAAATGCAGTGGAGACCCTAATCCAGGCAAAGCAGACTAAAATTTAATTCTAGCAAGATAGTGTTACTATTGATGCAGAAGTCATGTGGATCCATATATCGCTCCATACAGGATTGCACTTTCCCTGAAAAGTTGGAATGTTGTTTTAGGGTTCTCCTGGACTCACAGATTCTATGAAACATCGAGTGGAAGTCACATCCAAGAAAATTTTGGTCCAGTTTCATCAAGCATGCCAGTCGCATCTGTTCCTGAATTAGGAAGTGCTGGAGACAATAACTTATGGCACTGGATTATCTCAATTACACTACAGAAGTTAATCTTCCCTTGAAGACCATTCAGAAGCTGCAGTTGGCACAAAACCCAATGCCTTCTGACCAGCACTAACCAACTTAGTAACTTAAATTGTATTCAAGAACTGAAGTGGCTCCCAGCAAGCATATGGGCCCAAATCAAGGTGCAGGCTGTAACCCACCAATCCTGTGGGTTCTGCCTCACTACCTACATTATAATCTTGCCATGGGTGCATAGCCCTACAGAGTTGGGGCAGTGGGGGCAGGGACCTGAAGTATGACATTCTCACTGACAGCCCACTCAGTTTGTCATAATTATGAGGTCAGTCTAGACCAGTGGTTCTCAACGTTTGTGTGACAGTGACCCCCGTCACACAAACGTTATGCGCATGCGCAGCGCGCATGCGCAGTGCACATGCGCGGGGCTGCCCCCATGCGCGGCGTGCATGCGTGGCGCCGCCCCCGGAGGGGAGAAAATGGCGGATCGCCGCCTTTGGCGACCCCCGAAAAATGGTCGATTGACCCCAAATGGGGTCGCGACCCATAGGTTGAGAACCGCTGGTCTAGACCCTATCCATTTTCGTTTAGGAAGCAGGTTAAAACCATTCCCTCCCATAAGACATTTAGGGAAAAAGATTTTAATAGAAGATAGCAGCAGATATTTTTAAAGCTGTTAATTTTTTACTGTTATGGATGTTTTAATGTATGCCAGTTATAAGCTGCCTAGAGTTGTTTGAGTAGGGGACATACAAAGAACTGTAATAAATAGATTTTTAAAAAACCAAAAAGTTCACACCAAACATATTTTAATGTTACAGGCTCAGAGAGAGACAAATGGCAAAACAAATTGCGTTTATGGCAGTAGAAGCAGAAAAGAGTGCATTTCCAATGCATATCCCTGAATGTAAGTTGGATTATTCCACTGTTATTTATGTTTTTATTACTATGCACAGAAGGGAGAATGATTCTTATTCCATATTCACTCATAAAGAAGAATCACCCAAATGCATATCAAAACTTTGGCTAAAAGTTACTGTATATTTCCAAGGCTGACAGTGGACTAGAATCTAGATTCCTCTATACTAGTCTACTACCTTCATCACTACAGCATATTGGCCTTCATGAATCTTTTGATTTTATTGATCTGATGCCACCCAAATATGGGCAGATCACAACAATTTTTAAAAAATGGAAACAGCAAAATATAAAAAAATAACTACCAGAAATGCAAAATAATCACAAGATTATTCCAACAACATAGCAAGCAGAAAACATCAGGGCAGAGCATCCCCCCTACTTCAGGGCCTGGGTAAATACAGGTAATCCTTGACTTACGACCACAATTGAACTCAAAATTAACTGCTCCTAAGCAAGACAGTTGTTAAGAGAGTTTTGCCCCATTTTATGAACTACCTTGTCAGAGTTGTTAAGTGAATCACTGCAGTTAGGTTAGTAAAATGGTTATTAAGTGAATCTGACATACCCATTGACTTTTTTTGTCAGAAAGTCGCAAAAGGTGATCATATCATCCCGGGACACTGCAACTGTCATAAATACATGCCGACCGCCAAGTGTCCCAATTTTGATCATGGAACCAGGGGAATACTGCAATGGTCATATGAAAAATGCCCCATTTTTTTGCCCCATTTTACAACCTTTGCCACATAAGTGAATCAGCACAGTTATTAAATTAGTAATGGAGTTGTTAAGTGAATCTGGCTTCCCCATTGACTTTTTCTTGTCGGAAGGTCAGAAAATGTGATCACATTACTTCAGTACACTGTGACCATCATGAGTCAATTGCCAAGTATCTGAATTTTGATCACATGACCATGGGGATGCTGCAATGGTCATGTGAAAAATGGTCATAAGTCACTTTTTTCAGTGCTGTTGTAGCTTCGGTCACTAAGCGAATGGTTGTAAGTCAAGGACTTCCTGCAGGCAGGTCTTTAAGACCTCCTAGAACTGATTCAGGATGTGAGCCATATGGATCTCAGAGTTTCAGCACAACTTTGCTTATAATGCAACTAGAAAATAATTGTGTATATAGAGAAAATGAGAAAAATTGTTGCCAGTTTTGCACAAAGGAAACATTTCTCTGTAGCATGTTCCCCAACAATTTCCAGCTACAGGATTAACAGTAAAAGATTGTCTAATCAAAGGAATTGGAAGAAACCGTTTAGAATCCAATCATCTGCTTTGTATTGGGATACAAATTAACGTATTTGAGATAGATGGCTGTCAAGTCTCTGCTTTAATACATCCAGTGAAGGATGTTCACATTTCTGGGTATTTGCTCTCATTAAATGGAATCATATTCCTACCACAGCTGTCTTTAAAAGAGAAAACCTGATGATAGACCTATCACCAGCTATTCATTTTGATGACGCCATTTTCAGTATGCCTCAATATCAGTTGCTGAGATGAAAACAGCACCAAAGAATTAGGGCTGTTCTGTTATTCCTGGAGTTTTCCTTGAAGCCTCTTGGTTTCTCTTTATGTAAGATGATCCCGTTTCTAAACCAGTATCCCCTTGTTAACATACACAAATAAATGCTTTATTTTTAGTGTTGCTTTATCACCAATGTAAACTTTAATTCTGATTTTGATTACATGTTGCAATATTTTGCTATAATTTTGAAAACTGCTTGGGTTTCTGAAGGACAGGGTTTTAATAAATATCCTACTGAAGGACAGGGTTTTAATAAATATCCAATTAAGTTAATAGTGTGAGTCTCCTACCGTAAACTTACTAGATCCAATATTTGAATTCTGTTGACAAAAATTATTGTATAGGCAGTTCCATTAGCCAATACTACTTGGTTGATATTTATTGGATGTATGTGTTGCCAAATTCATTCAGACTCATGACAATTAAACAAAATATTGCCACTGTACAAGAAAAATGCCATTTTCCCCCTAACAGTACCTTAGGTACAGTCTTACAACAAAGGAAGTTTGCTTGTTCCTTTTAAATCAATTAATTATCATTTAATTCTTATTTAATATTTTATTTTGTAGACAATAAACAGCTTAAAACAATTTCCTTCTTCCTGTCTCAAGAGACACCTTCTTCAGCAAGAATTTATCCACCAGTAATTAAAGAAGCAGAGATTGTGGACAATACATACAGCATCTCTTGCTGTGATTTCACTATTGCAGGTGGAAAGGTAAACAACTGATTTTATACACTAGAAGCAATTTTTGAATTTTATATTCAAAATTTTATCTACATAAAAATATGCAACCTTTTTAGAGCTGAGAGCTAAACTTTCAAAGCAATGTGCTTAATGTACCCATGTCAATTATATGTGGGATTAATATCAATGAATGGCTAAGATTACTTAATATGAATTTTAAAGATGAAATATAGCATTATTTTCATTACAAAGTCAGTAATTTCTTTTTTTGTTTACATTGAAATTACAATTCTTAAAAGTAGGATTTGCCCAGAATTAAGAGTGCAAAAAGGAATGGCAGCAATGGTATACCCATTTCATGGACATGAGCTTGTAACTAATCTTTGAATATGGAAAACCAAAACAATCCATTTCAAATGGGAATTGTATTTCAGAATACTTTGCCTAAAATGTAAGGCAAAAAATAGCTTTATTTGTAACAGGGCCATTCATTTTCTCTCCTCCTAAATTAAAGCAATATACTCCCCAATCTTTATGGCATCTTTGGGGGCATATAAAAATCAATGTGCTTGGGAGGCAGATCAACATTGCTAGCCACTACCAACAATAATAGGACAGTTGCATATTGAATTTTTAGTGTAAGCTGCATCTCCTTATTTTCGTGGTTTAAGCTTGTCATTTAGCTGCTGACATGCTCAGATTTATCTGCTTGTTTACATAATAAACAATTTTGATAAAAATAGCTAGATTTCTATTTAACTCCCTTTTGTATACTGGCCTTATTGTTCTCTTTCAGTATCTTATCTTGCTCTTTTGAGTTCCATGGGGAAACTGTAATCTGCATGTTGTTCTTTTTTTCATCAATAGTTAGTGAAAAACCAATTCATACAACAGTACTACAAAAATGGTGTGAAGTTCCTTACCATGTTTCCGGATGGCACTGCACAAATATTGTATCCTTTTGTAACATACTCCTTTTCTGACATACTGTGTTCAGTGGAACTGGATCAGAGCTAGAGGGCTGCAACATAATAATCTGCAGCAAGGTTACCAAAAGGTCTTCAGGATGACAAACACAACTAGTGTTCTATCCCTGCTATGCTTGGTAGTGACCTTATTTTACTTTATAGCCGCCTTAATATACAACAATCACCACAGTTAAGAATAAAACATCTAAAATACATTGACCTACAACAATTAAACCTTTAATGCAGTGCTTCTCATTCATGGCATCTTTAAGATATGTGAACCAATTCCCAGGGTTCTAAGAGATGGAAGTCCTCACAACTTAAAGTTGCTAAGATAGAAAATAATGTTATAGCACCGTGAGCACAGGATTCATAGGATTTCTTCTTCAGGGTCGGAGACAAGACTAAGCAAGACTACAACTTCATAAGCAATAATCTAGTACCAAAGTCTGCCTACTAACCCCTGCCATCCTATTTCTGATGTCATAAAGTCAGACGAGTGTGTTGGGAGCTGGCTATTTTTAGCAAAATAGAAGCAACCCTCCCACATCCAAATTTTTTTTTCCCACAATCAGGTGGTATATGGAATCCTGGCAATTATAGAGATACTCCTACCACACACATAATCACAAACTTTCCTGCTGCTGAAAAATGGAAAAGGCTTTTAAAAGTGATCTTAAGTCTAAGATAGATTTGCACTGTATCTTACCAGAGCCTAATTCATGATTTAGGCAATAGAATGCATTATAGTAGCCTTTTTCAACATTGGAGCCATTCAAATTTGTTGACTTCATCACCCAGAATTCCCCACCTAACGGCTGAAAGTCTGGTAGTGGATCTTTATGCATCCAAATGGGGAGAGGACAAGTTGGGAAAGGCTGATAGTTCAGGTCTCTTGCAATATTACAGGACTCCGGGATAGGTAGTCTTTGACTTACACCTGCCAATTGGGACTAGATTTCTGGTCGTAAATAATTTTTATTATAAGACGAGGCACCCATATGACTGCATTATTTTACAATATTGTGTAATTGTTAAGCAAATCACCACAATCATTAAGCAAATCTGGTATTGTTAGGTGAACACTGTAGTCATAAGTGCAAACCCATTATTTCAAATGGACATTTGTTTTGCCAGAAACCAGCAAAAAACGTCACAACTCGCAGTCATCTGACTGTGGGACGGTGCAATCGATTGAGCAGGTAAGCAACTTGTTAAGCACTCAAAATGCAGCCACATGATCGAGAGAAGGAATGCCACATTTTACTACCTCCAGAATTGCTTCACAGCTTTAAAACACCCATTCTGGGCCTGCCATAATTTTAAATGGTTGTTAAGTGACTGGTCATAAATCAAGGACTACCTTTATCTTGAATTTTTAAGTGATTTGCAAGACCAAGATCAGCCCCTTGAACAAAGCTGGGAAACTTGCATATTTTAATCTGTAATCAAAATCTTGGCAAACTTGGGCTTCTAGACCTACAGAGTATTGTTTTGTAAGTTACACTCTGGCGAAGTAGTCATCTTCTGTGTATAGTATCATCCATACTGCTGTACCACTGCAAAATTAGGGAGAGTTTTGATATTGTTACAAAACTATAATAGTAATTAAATCTATTCTTTTTAAGATTACTTGTTTGTCTATACCAGGGGTAGGCAACCTTGGCTCTTTTATGATTGTGGACTTCAACTCCCAGAATTCCTGAGCCCTGGGAATTGAAGTCCACAAGTCATAAAAGAGCCAAGGTTGCCTACCCCAGTCTAGATGGAAGATTCATGCTACATCAGCAAAATAGAACCAAGGAATGAATTTAAGAACTGCAGGTAACATATGGGAAAAGGGGATGCTAACCAAGATTCTCCTCCTTCCCCCCAATCAGAAATCCACTATACCATTCATACATATGAGCTAGCATTTCTAAGCAAGTAAAGTAGGGGGGAAAGACCTTAGCTATATGTACAGCTATCCATCTGGAAATCTGGCAATTATTGTTGTACAGAAAGATGAAAATGCAGGATACATTTGTATAGTCCAAGAAGATAAGTGTGAGAAGCCGGAAATCCAAGCAGTATTTGACTCTTGTGGGAAAGGAACGTGTTATCATCCAAACCAAATTGTATGGTGAGCTTATTATAAATAGAGAAGTATTCATTTTTTGCTGTGGATTTTGTATTTCATATTTTAAGTATTTAAATATTTCATATTTAGTGGGTAGGATTTCCATTACTTCAACATATGCAGTATTCCTAGAAAGACCCTTTTGTGACTGCAACCACACTCAAGTTGTAGAAAATGCAACTCTTTCTAAGTGATAGTAAATTCATCATGCTGTAATTTTCTGTTCACTAGCTTTTTCCTTGAAATTGCAAAAACTATAAATTTGCAAGTTATTTCTGAAGTGTGATTGCTAACATCACATTGCTTTACTGCTGTTGAGAGAAGGCATGTTAGTTCAGTCTTCTCGTGCCAATGCATTAACCAGTTTGCCAACATTACTTACACATGATTTGAGTTACCTACAATGGTTTTTGTGAATGGTCACGTTCTAGATCAGTGGTTCTCAACCTTTTTAATGCCGCGACCCCCACTCGGTCGTAAGTCGAGGACTACTCAACCGGCCGTAAGTCGAGGACTACTCAACTGGTGCAGCACCGTTTGCAGAATGGGACTTTTGGCGGGCTCAGCAGGGCAGAGACAGCCTGGACAATTCCTATTGGCTTTGGAAACCCAATAGAATTAGACTCTATTTAAAAGCCAATAGAATAAAAGGGAGTAGCACAGCTAAGGAAAAGGGGGAAAAAATGGCGGACTGCGTTGTTTGGCGACCCCCGTGAAATGGTCGTTTGACCCCAAATGGGGTCCCGACCCACAGGTTGAGAACCACTGTTCTAGATAGTTTGCATTTTATTGTCCACTAACCTCAGCTTATAATTTACTTTCCCCTAATATAATTTGTATGTTTATTTAGATTACTTCATACATATCAACTGAACATTTTGTAAGAAGCTTATGTTGTAACAAATAAAAACATCACTATTTCATTATAATGGGATAACTTGATTGCCATTCTGGAAACAATTACATATTACAAGCCCTTTTTTAAAGTATTTGCTTGGAATGATAAGGGAAATGAATCAATCAGGTGGATCATAACTGAGCTGAACCTGTCTTCATATTTTTATATAGGATATGTTAAGATTTGTGGTTCAAATATACAATCAATTTATTTTTCTCCCTTGTAGGATAAATATTACTATTCGAGGAGGACATTACTCAGATCAAGCTGGCAACAAAGTGAAAACATGGATTTGGCCCAACAATCTACAGAAGCACAATCCCCGTGTATCGTTTAAACCCATCTTTCTATCCTTGAACCTTAATGTTGGTGTCAGGATACTAGGGCAAGATAAAATTGCCATTTCTTTTCTTGCAATGGGAAAACAAGCAAAAATTAATGTAGGAACCAAAGTGAAGGTACATGTCAGAGGAATTAATGTCTACCTATCCTTACAAGTTACAATAAAGCAAGACATGGAATGTTTTGGATGAACAGAAAACATTTAGGGAAATACAAAAACCTAAGTTTTATTCAAAATTGATCAAGTTAGTGTTCTCCAACATAATTAATCTGTATAGCCATTTTACATGATTTAAATTAATTGCAACATTGCTTTCATTCCTATACAACTCAATGAATTTCTGCTAGTCAGAGGTATGCACTTTGGACGCTGAATTAACTTTTTTTTTTCTTAAAGCCACTTGCTGAACACCTTCCATGGCCAAAGTATATAGCTGAAGATGACCTTCTGCTCTTCGCCAATAGACTAAAGATTCTTCGCATCTTTGCTAAACTGAATGGATATTTAGACTTTCCTGCCAGTGACTGGTGGACTAAACTGGAGCTCCCTTCATTTCTTTTGAAACAGACTTCGAAGTTAATATATCTTTGTAAAGAATGTGAAATAGACTGTGCTCTAGATAAGTTAATAATGGCAAAACTAAATTCACCAGTTTGATCAACAGCCGATTGTTGATGTTGCCTGAACAATGTGTTAAAGTCACTTGTTTAAAATATTTAATATTTATTAATCTGTTGAACTCTATAAGCAAATTTATATGTATTTAATATTTATGTATTCTTAAAATATATATGGGTATCTTCATGAATGTTCTATGTAACAGAAAATATAAATTTGAAGCCAACTCCAGTAAGAAAATTAAATTATATGCCGTAGTATTCATAAAACTCTAGATCCATTTTGCTATGATTAAAAAAAATCATAAGATTTTTAAGGCCATACTGTTAGACTAACCCACAAAATTCCTCTGTAGTTTTGATTTCTCCACACCTCTTTAAGCAAGATAGTAAATAAAACACAATGGGTAGGCTGCGGAAGCGGATTCTTAAACCACTGGCTTGTATTTAGTTATAATCTGGATGGAATTAGACCCTACCAGCCAATGTCATGTTTTCAGATTACAAGTAAGATTCTGGTAAAAGCTTCTGGAAAAAAGATTGGTTGTTCCCACTGTCTGAAATCAAACCATCCAGTCATTACTCAGACTCCTGTCAATCTTTAGGGAGAAAACCTAATGCATCTTTTTAAAGTGTAAAAACAATAAAGGAGAACAATATTTTTTTATAACTATGCTGTCGTTGATAAACAACCTTAGTCTTGATATATTAACAAAGCTTTATCTACTACTTGGAGGAAACTGTTTTCTAGGATGTATGTTCCAGGGTCAGAAAATAAAACTTTCCATATACAATGCTGTTGCTGATATTATCCAAACTGCAGTTATTATTGTAAAAAGGAAAAATTCTTAGTACAGCAGTTAGATCATTCCAGAATCTCAAAATAGTAACTCGTTCAGGTGCAATAAAATTCTTCATGACTTGTAATGGTTCTATTAGCATAGGTAAATTCCATTTATATATATATACGCAATGATGAATCCTCAACTTTATAGATGATTTTATAGAAGCACTTTCTATTGCTTCTATTACCATCATCCAATCAAGGCAGTGTTACAAACCAATTTTAGACAAAAAAAGCTATGTGTATTCTTTATCTTCTGATCTCTCCCTTTCCTTTTGTGAGCTAATGAACTATTGGAAACAAATGTGTATAATAAATTATGCCCTCAGAGCAGCAGACAGGAATTAAAACAATGTAATTGAGTAATATGGTAAAACAGCAGCAAAAGTGGCAAAACATATAATTAAAAGGTGGAGCTGGGATAGCTGTTATTTATTTTCCATTTCTTTTCATCAAAATAACTGTACCAAGAAATCTATATTAATAAAGCACTATAAATGCACATTTATGCATCAAAAGAGGTACTTTATATTCCTATGGATACTTCCCTAGATGTAAGCTTCATTTAAATCAATGTGATTTGTTTTTGAGTGGGATGGACTGGTATGAGAAATTCAATATTTATCTAAATATAATTTGCAGAGGCTTTGTTTCTTTTTCATTTTTCATCCTAGTTTATCATCTATATTTACTTAAAAACTTCCCAAAAGTCATCTTAAGGAAGCTAACTATAAACAGAAAACCATATGAATGAAAACATAAAATTGCAAAGGACACAACCATGAAAAAGCCCCCCCCAAAATATGTCTATCAAGTAATGAACCTGTCCTAAATGCTTTCTGAAATAGCAGTAGAGCTAAATAAGCAGAATCAGGCAAAGTGCAAATGGACCTCATATGGAAGAGAATTCTCAATCACAGAAATAAAGGCTAGATAGATAAATCTGTCTCTCATAGTTAATGCTACATTACAGACAACATCTTTTCTAAATAGACGAAGTACTTCAGAAAAGTTCTTACAGAAGGCTTGATTTCAATATACCACTATTGTCAAGAGTAGTTAAAACTGAAAAGTGCTTGGGGGGGGGGCTCATGGACTAGTTCACAAATTCAAGGCTTAAGTGAGATCCAGGGTTATCCAAGTAATTTGAAATTAGTCTTCTGTTGGAATTGTTCTGAAATTAAACAGACTTATATACTGAATCAGAAAATGACAAGCTCTTAACTCATTTTAAAGAAAGGGATTTAAATACATACCTGCTTCAGGTGTTTCAGGAGATTTAATTAAAATATATAGATTTCAATCCTTTAAACCATATTCAAAATTACACTGGGAGCAATTATGCTATCATGACTATTACCAATAGTTTCTGAAAGACCCACATGAAGACAAAATAGGAGACTCCCACTGTATTCTGTTTTAAAATATTTCATTGAGTAAGCTGTATCGATATTTACTTATTAATTAACCCATTTTTTATTATCTTCAAATAATCAAATTATGGCTGAGAGGCGAACCTCTTGATCAGAATTGTGCTTATTTAGTTTTCTCTCTCCTGCACTGGAGATTGAACATACTGTTCTATAATCTGAAAAACTATTGAAGGAGAAGAGGCAGAAATTAGATCAGATTAATTCCATGTTATAAATCATTTAAGGTTCCAAAGCTGGAATTGGCCACTGCTAAATCAATAGACTTACATGGCTTCATTTGGCCTTTTCCCTTACATTTCATCATCCTGGCAAATTCAGTCCTTATATCCTTGTTGTACAAGGAATGCACAAATGGGTTTACCAGTGAATTGGTTTCTCCTAGGAGGAATAAAAAAATCCCTCAACAGTGGGCTCAGATTGCAGGATTTACAGGTAGCTTTCACAATGGCAGTCCCATAATAAGGGCCCCAGAATACAATGAAGCAAACAATCACAATAAGGATGGTCCTTAGAGCTTTGAAGTTACAGAGATGAACAGAGGGGATGGCTGCATGCAAGCAAGAGCGCTGGATCTGCTTATGCTGTAGATAGGCAATCCTTCCTACTGAGATATGCAAACACACCAAGGTCAACAAAGCAGGGATGAAAATACCAAAACAAATTATGTAGAGGTAATCACTTTTGGCAGCAGCCAGGAGTCCACAGTTACCTTTCAATTTGTTCTGCCGCAATCCTGAAGAAATAAGTGGCATGTGTCCTACCAAGAAGGGAAGAACCCAGAGGACTACAAGAGAAAGGATTACACGTTTCTTGCTCATAAGGGAGGGATAACGAAGGGGCAGTTTCACTGCCAAATATTTGTCCAAAGAAACCAGGAGCAAGGTGAGAATAGAGCCAATACAAGGAGTAATACCCACGCAGATCCTTATAAGACAAAAAACCGAATTTGTATCAAACAGTGCATCTGTTGCATCCTCCAAAGCGTCTCCAATGCACATCACACCCACAAGTAGATCAGCAGCTGCCAAGTTGAGGATGAAGACATAGTTTCTGCTTGATCTCTTCTTCTTCAACTGACAGATGACAATGATTACCAGTAGATTAGCAGATGGGATAAATATACTTAAGATTACATGTAACACTGCATAAATAATAGTTGACATCTTGTTTACTGTAAACTGGTAGATACATTAGTTTTAGATATGCATTGCATATGCAAACTGTATCAAATCTTTAAGAGTAAATATGCTTTCCAATCATCAAACTGTTTGATAGCTGCCTTCATTCTCTCTGGTCAGACGGTTTTCTTCAAATTGATGGCTGTTCCGTCCCAACATCTTTTGTTGTCAGTTTGTTTCTCTTGTTAAATTCATGATACACTTCCACTGGTAAGCAGACAGCTGAAGACACATGGAGGATCAAAGTTCTGCCACTTAAAAGCTTCAGACAAAATCAACTAATTGGCTGAAATGGAGGGGATGCAAAATAGTCCGGAAGCAGATTTGCTCTATTTATGAAATTCTCCGATGCAGAAAGGAAGGAGTTTAACAAACAAAAAGAGACACTGCAATATCAGTTACCATTACACTTCTAAAGGTGTGTGATTGTTTGTCTTCTCCATGCATTAAAATGAAGCAACCAATAAACAGAACATCTCCATGGTATCCTTAGTTATTGGATCCTGGGAAGAAAACTTGGTTATTTCAGTGATTCAAGAAAAGAATTTTTTTCCCAGTTAAGAGGAATGGATATTAGACTTAAAATTGTAAAGTAAATTAGAAAACTATTGCTGGAGTGCAAGCTTTGTAGCTTGTCTGGGTTCAAGGAGACTGTTAAATGAATGATTGGGAAGGCAACATTTTCTACATTTACATTACAAGTAGTCCTCAATTGGGACTAGAATTTCTGTTGTGAGTTGTTGCATCATAAGTTGAGTTGGACCTGCTAAGATTATTTTTAATGATTATTAAGCAAATCACCATGGCTGATAAGCTACTCACAAGGTCATTCAACAAATCACATTGTCATTAAGTGAATTCAGCTTTCCCAGTAGGCGTTTTTCCCAAAAATTGGCAAAGTTTTTAAAATCGTGATCATGTTATTGCAGGATGCTGTAACCAGCTGTAAACACAAACCAGTTGCCAACCAACCAAACTGCAATCACATCACCACAGGGGTGGCATGCGATGTGATGATTGTAACTGCAAGTGCATCCTTTGGCATGTCCATGTGACACCCCTGCTTTTCAAGTTGCACTGATTGCCAGTATACTTCCAGATGTGATTCAACTGCTGATTATGATCTATAAATCTCTGCCTCACATAAGGCTATTTGAGAGGCTAAAGCTACAAACTATTTTTTCAAGTGATATATTCTGAAAGAGTTAGAAGCTACTTCATCCAATGTAAAAGTTTTTAGCTAGATAATTCCAGATTTTCATCATCAGGAAAAAAAATTAGGGTTGGTCTATTAAATACCACCTATTTTTTATATTGCTGGACCATGAGAATAAGAGAGTAGATTGAAGGAAGAGAGCAGAGTGGGGTGCAACAGAAGGTAGTGTCAAACAGGATCTTTGTTATGGAAAGTTATGCAAATAAATGGCTGTGAGAAAGAAGTTTTTTCATACCTGACAATGTAGTGCAGAGAAAAGTGAATTGAGATAAAATCCCTTTGTCTGAGATGAACATATGAGCACACTTTGGCTAGCAGAGATTATGTAGTACAGTATTTCCTTGAAATAAAGCACACTACTAAAAAGCAGTCAAATATAATATAAAAGAAAGACATGGCACATAAGTTGAAAGTGCCACATAAAATACAATGTGTAAAACATTTTTTTCATGCCCCTCAAATAATAACCTATAAAATGAATCTTAATAACTATAAGCAAAGGGATAGACAATTGGAATTTACAAAGTGCTTTTAAAATATTTTAATAGGATATAAGAAGAAAAGCAAGCTTGAAGCAGAACAATTATTTTTTAAAAAGACCCTAAATTATGCTCACACATGACACTCTAATGTTGTTATAATCTGAAAGTTAATAGAGAAATGTGAAACTTAGAGAGATAAAAATGATAAATTATAACAAAAGTCAAGAACTCAGTTGAAAAACCATCTATAAATTCTGGAATTAAAAAAGTTATCTTTAGCTCCTTAGAACTCTAGGAAGAGGGAAAACAAATGCACAAGGATACGCATTTGAGAAACGTGGATTGTATAGCATAGAAGCACAGATGTACTTAACTGCTATATTTAGTTAACCACATGGAACTGGTTCAACTGTCTTAATTCTAGCACTAACTTATCTCCTATTCAAACAGTCTATTCAGTAAGTTTACAATTATTGCAGATTCAGATTTTATGTTAGCCATTTTGAGATAGATATCACCAATCTTTTCATTAATGGCCACCAAAAGAGATGCAGTAATAGCTCTGCAAACACTATTTAAAGGAGTCTGTACTTTTGGGTTGTTTCAAAGCAATTAACACAGCTTTGTCAAGCTTTTATAGCTGAAGCTTTTATTTGTTTTTATGAGTAACTAATTACAACAGCTTTTCACAATCAATGCCTACTACATGTGCTATATCAGATCCTCACCTCTGGTCAGAAAACTCTAACATTTAGAGCATTTGGTGAGTGGGAGTGATAGGAGCTATGGTCTGCGTATCTGGAAATTACTAGGTTGGTGAAGTCTGCACCAACATCTTGCAGAATTAGCAGCAGGAGATGGTTTTCAAGAATATATTTCTGTATTTATTTCCTACAGGCAAAACTAAAGAATGTGATGCCTTCCTCTAATACGCCAATCATGTACTTTAGAAATATTCTAACAAAATCTAAATGACTTATATACTATTAAAACTCACACATCTGTAACTTTTAACTAGGGAAAATTGTGCATCACAGAGAAGCACTTTTACAACCTAGGTACCTCAAAAGCGCTAAATTACAGAATGTGTACAAAATCTGAAACCACGACTTTCATGGGACTGAAATTTGGCAAATTTGTTGTTTCAGTGCTGCTGTGCTGCCACCTGGAGCTTCAATAGACCAGTTGCACCCTAGCCCTCTTGAGGGCTAGTCAGATCAATTCTTCCTTTGGCCACTGGAGATCAGGCAGATACCGGGTAGCCCTCCAGATACCGGGTAGACCAATCCCATCATTAACTGCTGGAGAGTCAAACTGGCAGGAAGTGGAAAGTCACTCCCACTCCCAGAGTCTCTGACCTTGGTCGTTCTGTTTCTCTGTTTAGATAAGGAAATATCTCTGAAACAATGAACCAACAGGTCATGAGTTGTATAGTATTATTTAAAATTTATAGCAATTTTATGAAAATATGGTGTGGAAACAAATCTTACATTTGGAATGTCAATTTTTTAATACAATAAGATCACCTAATTTAACATTTTTATTTCAAAGTCACACACACTATATCAGTACATGTAAATTTGGAGTACTTTCAATTTTTTTAATGAGATTAAAACCTTTCCACAATAAATGTACATAAAACTGAAATCAATGGGCTTAAGCTGTATTGAAAGACTTAGGTTTATTGAAGTCCAACAGTTTTAATATATAGTAAAATATAAAACTGATTATATAAAAAAGCAGAAATTCTATTTTGATTGGCTATAGTGAAGTTAAGCTTTATATATTTATTTCTTCCCTGAGATTTAACAATGATGTACATACATAGAATATGAAAAAATGAGAAGTTTAAATTTGGAACAAGAGGAAAAAGTGTATTTTGAATGTAATAAATTATAAGAGTGGGAATATTACAGAAACCTAAACACATTGCTATATATCTTATGATTAAACCAGTAATTTTTATAGCAGTAACAAAATATATTTGAGGATGCAGAGAAATATCTGTTATTAGCTCAGCAAAAATCATGGTGCACTAATTTTAAAAAATGCACCTACTATATATGAACATATCACATAAACATGTGCAGTATATATGCCAAGCAATATTTAATCCTGATTTTCAAATAAGACAAAAATTCTGAATGTATTTCAACCTAAGTCTTTCTCACAGATAAAGAGTTCACAGTAAGCATCACATATACCAAACAAAACCAAAAGGGCTATAGTCCACAGACCATATAAATTTACATCATAACTGAACTGAATTAAGTAGACTTTAAAAAATCTTAATATATTACATCATTGGAAATACCTGATTTTCATAAAGTAATGAGTTGAATCAATATACCTATTAAAATTTGTTTGTGTTATTTCTTTATATATTTTAAAATATTTTAATTAGTTCTTGTTCAAGGCTGGTTGTTTAGATTTTTTTGTTTTTGGTTGAGGAAGAATCTCAAGTGTTCTGCAATTTTACTGTCCCCCATTCAAAAACCTACTAAATACTAGAGACATAACTGCAAATGATTAAGCACATGTTTTCATTAATGTTTGCTGTACTGTCACTCAATATGTTTTAGGCTTTAGAAATTTATTTTTGAAAACATAATTCTTTAACAATCAAGGGTAATATTTGTAGCTCAGGGTTGAAATGAGGGGGTCATTGGTGCTATCTGAGCTTGATTGTTTTCTTGCAGATGTTCATTACCCAAACTGGTAACATTATCAGTGCTAGCATGATAGTAATGAAATATCTGCAAGAAACCAATCAAGCTCAGAGAGCACCAAACATCCCTCATAATTCTTCAACAATTTTGAAAAATTATAAAACAGCTTTTCAAAAGGAATTAATTTTGTAATAATAATAAAGAGTAAAAAAAAGTATATGGAAAGCTTGTATAATTATGTAAGAAGTCAAAATTAATAGATACAACACTAGAGGCAGTCCTCAACTTACAACCACTCATTTAGTGACCATTCGAAGTTATAACACTCACAAAAGTGACTTATGATTGGAGCATCCCTGTGGCCATGTGATCAAAATTCAGATGTTGGCAACTGACTTATATTTACGATGGTTGCAGTGTCCCGGGGTCATGTGATCACCACCTTTTGCAACCTTGTAAGCAAAGTTAATGGGGAAGCCAAATTCACTTAACAACTGTGTTACTAACTTAACTACTGCAGTGATTTACTTAATAATTGTGGCAAGAAAGGTTACTTCACTTAACTGTCTTGCTTATGAACAGAAATTTGGGGTTCAATTGTGGTCATAAGTCAAGGAC